GGTATGCTTATTGCCTTATTTAATTTTTGTTCTTCGGTACTTTGCTATTTCATTGGAATATGAAATTAAAATTTACTATTTTTTTATCTTTATTTTATTGCTGCTATATAACAGCAGATTTCAGCTCGTGGTATAGCTACTTAATTCGAAATCATTGCTTTCATTTTTCTTATTTTTTTTTTCCTTCCCTCTTTTTATAGCCTTTTTTAAAATTCGAGAAAACAAAGATATCGTTTAAAAATAAACCAGTCAAAATATACAACGATACATTAACTGGTGGTCTTGTAGCTTTGTAAAGCAAGTGATGAATTTTAAGTTTTGTTTATTTCAACAAAGATTTTAGTGATTATTTAATTTCAGCAATGCAAAATACAAAAGACTTCCTTCAACAAAATTTTAAAAATTACTTATAATCTGCCCAGGAAACTAACGCGAGCACTAATTTATTCCAGTCTCGTTGACTACGTAATTAAAGCAATAAATAATGACGCTGTACTGTTTTAACTGTACTTTTAAGAAAAGAGCTTATAACGGCTTATCCAAGGTTACTATACTGCAAGTACTCTTGTATGACGTCACTGACTCCTAGCCTGTTTGAAAGCAGCTTCTTCCCTACTCTCTCTATAGCCCCGTTCACATGCAACGCTCCTTCGCACAGCTGCCGTTAGCAAGGGGAGAAAAAGGAGACATGAAAGAGTTTCGTCTTTAGGACCCGTTCAGAAGACCACCGCCTTCCTTCCCCTTTACACCTAAAGCCTCTGTGAACAATCACGTCTCCGAATTGGCAGATTTCTAATACTGTTTACACATTTTTAACGTGGTTTACTGTTGTTAATTTTGTAATCTGTACTTTCGCAAACTGTACCTGAACTTTCGTAATGGTTCCTGAAAAATATATTGCTTTTTAATTATTATTATTATTTTATAAAGCTGTTATTTAGTTCATCTTGGGCTTGTCGCTATGGTTAAAAAGATGGTAATGGATTTTAAACTGCTTCCCGATAAGATATAGAACTCAAACTTGTACATACACTGCTTGTGGATGTGTGTCACGCTTTTGATTTTTAGAGGATTAGATTTTTTCAAATTTAAAGTTGAAAACGACTTTTTCAAATATAACAAATAAACTGAGAATCTCAGAATTTTAGTTTGCACCATAACACACTGTGAAAGAAAAAAAAAATTAATGAGATTTTTTAGCGTAATTTTTTTTAAATATTTTGGGAGAATTTTGAAAATCGTTCATATTTTTAGACTTTTTTGACACCCATTTTTTAAAATTTCATATCTAAAAATATATCGGTTACAAACTTCCGACTTTTTCACAGCTTACAAACAACTTTTCGCATTTAAAAAAATGGTAAGGACATTAATTGGATGATTTTGTACTTTTGGAAAGATATGCAATGAAGCAGAATGGAAAATATTGGTTCTTCTTGGGCATCATTCGAAACATCGGTTTCCAAATAATAATTTCATTATACCACACTATTTTTATGACCATTATTTACGCTATGGTGTTACCAGTTGTTATTTTCACAGTTTGTTATTCACTCTTAGATTGTTTGTGTTTTGAGTATTCTTACTTAGATTTGTTTAACGTTCTTATTAGATTGAAGCATAACTGCTAGTGATATGCTAAAACACTTGTATGAGTATTTCTGTGGAAAATTCCAGAACTTTGAAGTGTTTATGTTGATAAAATAAACTTAATTAAGCTATCATCGGATTTGAGTGCAATGACCATCATTTACGAACTATTATCAATCTATTACAAACCCGTTCGCACGCAGCAATATTATAATTAAGTAATGTATTAAAATTGTTTTTGAACGTGTTTTACAAAACAAAAAACAGGTAAAGAAAAATTTGTTTGCGTTTTATGAGTTTTGCAATTTGTCTGGCCACATAAGGTTTTAAAAAAAGGATTGTAATTCATGTTTATATTTACCAATTGAATAAATAGCACTAGGTTTGATTTATATACATATGTGTATATTGAAATTCAGTAATAAAATTTTAAAGATTTGAAATGATAAAGTCTATTTAGACAGTTTGTATTCTTTAAACTGCAAATGCAAACTGAGAAACCTTTTCCACTTTTTTCAATAAATCCTTTTACTCCTAAAACATATACAGGTATGGACTAAATTTTTTATTATTTTTCTGTTTATATAAAATTATATAATTTATAGAAACAAGGATGAATTTTGCAAAATACTTTGGAAAAAATTATTTGAAATGAAAATGTGACTGAGATCATATTTGTTTTAAAGATTTTAGATAAAAGTGTATTTTTTTCTCAGAAACTAATTATTAATTGCAAAATCATTCCTTGAAGTTATTAAGAAACACTTAATAAATACAATAAAAAAACTGGGGGGGAGACATTGAAAATTGTAGGAGAAGAAAGACATTTAATTGTAAAATTTTTTTCAAAATTTAAATTTAAAAAAAAAAATGCTAGCAAAACCTTTTTTTTCAGCTAAAATTATTTTGTCTCGCAAAAAACCATTTAGTAATATTCATAAAAGTAGATGAAAATGCTTAAATAAAAAAAAAAAAAAAAAAAAAAACATTCAAAAGGTACCGAGTCCCTTTTTGCGTTGAAGCCGATATGCACTTGTCTTAACTTTAGTTTTAATTGAACGATATTTCTGGAATACCTAGCATCAGATAACCTTGTCTGTATTTGTCTACATTTCCGTATCTTGTAATTTCTATATTGTACAGTTGTACAGTTGCTATCACATCCCCAGACATCTATCAGCGCGATTGTGTCGCTGACAGTTCAGCGAGCATTAACTAAAATTAAGTGAACCGCGCAGTATAGTACGGGAATCTCCCATTGCCCTGCTCCCGAAAGGTAGGAAACATTCAACCAAGTTCTACCTCCAATTCGGCGAGGCAGTTAATGCTTGTCCCATGTGAACGGGACACGTTGGAAGAACCGGTTTTCGCTACCGGTCGAATCTGCTCTTGTGAACGAGGCTTATGTGTTCATTTCCCTCACTTCTGAAGTGACGTCAACATTAGGAAGAGTAATCTTGTTTGTCTAGGGATCTTAGATTAATCAGAGATTCTCGAAGTGCAAAGAAACAGGATGTTCTATAAATTTGGAAGCCTTATTTTCAATTTTCAAATTCAGTTAATTTAATTAATTTCAGTTAATTCACATTTTCACGGATAAGTATTGCTAATACGCAAAGCTCATTACTTTAGTGTAAAAGCAGCAAGTAAAAATTAATGGGACTGCTATTAGTAGTATAGCCAGCAAATGCAGACAAATTAATACCGTTATAATCTTAAATTTTGCTATTCAATTCTTATTAGTAGGATGCTAATATTCTCGTCAATAGTAAAAATTTGAATGAAAATATATATTTATGCTCCCAAAATTAATTTCTTTGATCAATCTTCAGGTGCAAACTGCACTATGATAATTTTTTTAAATGTGTTAGAATTTACACCTTTGCCTTCTGAAATGTTACTGATATGTGATGTGATAATACAGAATTTAATGAGAGGAATGTGTCTAGCATACTTATCTGATTAAATTTTTATTGTAAGCAAGCATACATTTTATACAATTACTTAAATTAAAGATGACAGATTTTTCTTGACTCCATATCCTAAAATATTGTCGAATCAGTGTAATCCTTGCCCCCCCCCAAAAAAAAGAACCGAAAAAAATGCTTTTGCTTAAATTTTTAACTAAAGTAAATTTGAAATCTGCATTTAGTAAACAAAAATTTTAGTAATACCTTTTTCATAAATGCACTTAAATTTGTTAAAGATGCGAGGGGAGTTTAATAAATACAGTACATAATTAAAACACCTGAATCTTGAATTTCCTTTTGTCAACATAATTATATGACGTGGCAAGAAGTTCTAAAAGCTGAACAGGACCTATTACTATTATTAATAGTATTATTTTCAATAATAAGTTATCAGTGCCAAGAACTGATGAGGATTTTCGAGATTTAGGTGGAAAGTGTAACACAAATACTGCTAGAAAATCCCGGGAGATTTGACTAAATGGTATTCTGAACCCTGTAGCGTGCAGGACTGTCATTAGGTGGTGTTGATATTCCAGATACCACTGAAACTGCAGGATTCTTACTCTTCTTTCGACGAACAGTTGGCTGTTCTCTTGATTACTATTGGAAGTCAATAAAGTTAACTTTTAAAACGTTTTGAGTTAGTGTTTTTTTATTATTTAAATAAAATTAAAAACATTTAAGTAAATTAACAGTGACTTTAATTCAGCTGTAAATATGTGACCCGAATATTTATAGCGGTAAAGATTTAAGATAAAATGCATATTTCTAAACGTGGTATGTTGGCATTTTATTTCAGTTGAAGAGACTTTAGAAAAAAAGTCTTCCTAAAAATTTCGCCGAAAAAATTTTTTTCAAAATATTTTGGAAGGGCACAATTAATTTTTGATAGATATAATGCAATTTGGTTTTTAGAATTATAAGTCAAATTACCAGCAAAAACGAATCTTTTCAAAACACTATGCTGCTCAATAACGGGATGCAGTTTCAATTTGTAAAGTTTTTAAAACACTGTGGCATTCCTGTATTCTTAGTTTCAAAAACTTTAAATTAGATTACCCACTTGTATGGTAAATGCTAAAATGGTATTCCATAACTAACTGAGTTTGCTTACTGTACATATTGAGAAATCGTTTAAACGCACGAAAAGGCACTCATTGAAATTTTAATAATAAGATTAATATTAATAGCAGAGAATGTCTTCTGATAAAAATCGCTGCTTTACTAATGGAAAACGAAAATCACTAAGAACGCGCAGTACAGATACATTTGTTACGATTGTTTTGATTGGTTGTCACGAAGCATTTTTATTGCATGCAGTTATATTTGAACATTAAGTGAGTTTCGTCCTGATGAAAAAGAATTTCTAATGAATTTGTGTATTCAAAAATGCCATGCACCATGAAGCTGTATTGATGAATGTTCTTTTTTTCCCCCTAGGTTATGAACAAGGTGAGTGTTTGCTTCTGTGTCTGCGAATGTATCGACCATCGCTCGTTTCTGTTGTCTGGTCGCTACGTCAGAAGGGAATTCATTCATGGAGATGCACATGGCTAGTGGAAAACTTCCTAAATGTCAATTTATTGATTACGATCTTTAATCGATAAAAATCGGTATTTAACTATCATATTTGTATATCAAATTCTGAAACTTCGTTGCCTAGGTAATTTGGGTGCAAGTTACGTGATCTTTTTTTAAAGATTGTGATAATATTTTTTCATTCCTTCAAATCTAATACAGCTTAATTTTGATTTTTGGAATATAAGAATATTTTTAGAACTACAATTTAAATGAACAGTATGCAGAATTTTCTTTTAAAACCTACTGGGCTACAGTTTGGGACTTTCTTTCACAAAAATTTTATAAATAACTTAATACAACTCCGATGCATTCTGGTATTGGCCTTTCCTGTGCAAAACAGGGTGTCCAGAAAACATCGGTCAGTTTTGCGTACTGCTTACTCGTACTATAAATACTATGCTATGATTTTTTTAAATACTTCCTTTGCTGTTAATAGTATTACTTTTTAATAAATGCATTATAATGTGTTACTTTATGTGCATTATGAATAAAGACATATCGAAACGATATTCGGTCTCACTCTGAGCTCAACAATATCACCCAACATTAGACATGCATGCAGACTGTTGGTGAGATATTTCTTCCGATAGACAAGGCCAGTAATTCTGTAGCAGTTCATTTTTTTATATAATCCCTGAAGAAATCAATGTTCTTTATTTCCGAGCTTTTAAGGTGTCAAAGACTGACTTATTCCAATCAGCAGCTCTGGCAAGCGAATGTTTTAACAGAACTGCGCCATTGCTGCAAATTATTAGTGCTTCATTTCAGTAAAGCTTATATTGTCATCGATATTTCATACGCACTGTTACTGGATCAGTAACGTTAAAGAACGAAGGATTGGGTAACACAACACCATTTATTTATTTATTTATTTTGAACCCCATGCAACGCACTTACACTGCAGATTATATCTATATTAGCAACGAAAGATACGAAATGGGCATAATCCTTTTAATTTAAATTATTTAATTTTATCCATTTAATTGCTTAGGATAAATATACATTATTATACAGATTAGTTAGTATCTTTACTATGTTATCAAGTTATCAGTCTTAACAATCAGTCCATTAAATAAAAAAGTAAAAAACTAAAATTGTTTTAAGACATAATAAACTTCCATACATTCCTTTGTTAATCATTTAGTTAATTTTTATAATTACATCATGCTAGTTAAAGGTTAATCGAATTATCGCCCCGAGTAACCGTAAATTTCTTGGGATATGAAAATGACGTCACTTTCATAACAGCTCTTAAATTATTTAATTCTGTTGAGCGTTTGACAATTTCAGTAAATGAGGGAAGGGAGCTATAAGATCTTAAACATCTATGCACACACACACACAAAAAAAAAAAAAAAATTCCAGCGCGCCGTGCAAATAATGAAAATCACGATCTCGTCCATGCGTGTTGAATCCAGCTCTAATTTGGTCAACCTTGCGAAGCTATTTAGCTCGTCAAGCTCCCAATGAGTCCAGACGATCCGTCTGCCTCTGCGGACAATTTGTCTCCGAAAAACAAAATCTTTCGCTCCATGTTTGTTGGGAACAGACTGCCATTGCCAGACAGACGGTTTCTAGGGTCTTGGCTTTGCTGATATCGATTACTTCAAGGTGACGGCTCTGCTGCTTCACGGAGCTTTCTATTTATTCCGTTTGTTGAGAGATGTCACATTTAAGATAATATTTAGGTTTACGAAATAAATCAATAATGCACAACATGCATTTATAAAACAACTTGCCATTTTTTGGAGTGCTTCTCTTCTATTTTTTACACATTCATTATGTCGACGATTATAGAAAGGGTACGATTTAAAGCGGTTTGAACGAGAGCTGATTCAAAATACGTGCGATATAGGCAGCCAAATATTCTCCGAGTTTCCGGGGGAGCTAGTTAGGTTGCTGTCACTAACGACAATTGGCGGGAAAATATTTATCCTAAACTGGGTAACAAAAAATGAAACATGCTCAACTGGTTTGATTCTACGACTGGGATACGCTACAGTGAGTTTCTAAGTATTTCTAACTCATCAGTAATTTTTAAACTTTTAGTGGGTCATATGTGTCCCGTTAGTAATCTAAGGCTTAACTCATAAAAGATGCCAACAGTACTGATCGCGTAGACCGTTGAAAATAATGGATTGAATTACGCCTAAGGTTACAAGATTCTACTTTTTAAAACTGAAAAAGAAAAGCAGAGTTTTTAAGTGGGAATAGGTCATAGTTATAAATGAATATAAAATTTCATGGTTATTGTATCGTTCTTTATTAAACTAACTAAACATACCAGATCCACCATAATGGGTTTTAGAAGAATTTTAAAGCAATTCATATTCAACAAAAATAAAGTGGATGCTATTTGTTAAACCATTGCGTGAATTTCGAAAACTGTGGAATTTAACAATTACCTGTGTGCACATAAAAAGAAAACACCATTTCATATTAATGTTAATAGCGGAATGATCTCTCAACAAAAATATTCTGTATTAAGCTATGCAAGAAAAAGCACTTCATCTGATTAAAAAGTACTACATTTATGTTTGCTTTTGTTTCGCTGAATTTGGGATATTTTTAATATTATAGAAGAACGTAACACGAATCTGAGAAATTAACATACATCCAACAAATATAAAAATGTCAAGCTTCATCCAATAATAGTCATTTAATGAAATGTCTATTTTTACCTACGCAGTTTCCATGTTTATATATAGACGTTCAATTTATTTAATATGTCAGGTACATATATTCTTAGACACGTGAAAACAGAGCAAGAATTTTTACATTTAATGAAGCCAATATTTTTAGCTATCCAATTTCCCTACTTATATATAGAAGTTCGATTTATTTAATATGCCACTTACATATATTCTTAGGCCCATGAAAAGTTCTTACATTATTTTTAACAGATTTTGCTGTATTAAGTAAGTCGTAACAAGCAAAACCTGATGCTGAATATTTATTTTTTCACTAACGAAAGAGTATGCCAGGGTATTCAATAACATTCCCATTTCAGTGTCTATCAACTCTTGATAAAATAAATTCTTGACCTGTTTTTAGTGTTTTGTTTTACTTAATCCTGATAATTATTAAATATCAAGTTTTTCGTAGCAATTTTCTTCAAAATGACCTGAAAATGTAAATTAAGGACATTATAATGTAAAAACGAAATGTCTGATATGCACAGATCAAAATTGTCATCGCGAAGCTTTTAATTTCAGTGTTGTCGAAATTTATTCGTTTAAAAACTTGCTTAATAACTCAACATACCTGGAAAAGTATATGAAGTATTGAATACATGAATCGCTTTTAAAATGCCTTAATGCAGTGGTCTCATGAGGACCGAATGCACGATCTCAAAGCAGCAAATGGGGCCAATTTTTTTTTTTTTTTTTTAACAAAATAAAAAATTTTGAACTGAATTAAAAATTTTGTTTACTATAATGTGTTAAAACATACATGAACAATAATAAAAATAATGCAACCGAAAAAGCTCAAGTTTTATATATACATATTTTTTCTGAAATATACAGGTTGGCAATTGTAAGACATTTCTGTTTTAATTCACTTTGTAATTTAATCGTATTGATAGCTAAATATAAAATTTTCATACTAATATTTATTTCAAATAATTCTAATATGTTGAATTAACCACTAAATATCTTGCTTTTTGCTAAACTAAAAATAAATAAATTCCGAAATATTTCCATATGGGATATAAAAATAAATAACAACCTTTCATTTATTTAATAAATTTTTGACCTTCAAACCTTGAATAAGATTTATATCTTAGTGTAAATTAATTAGCTGTATTTGTAGATTTTCTGGGACATAATTCACATTCGTTTTTAATGGTCATGAAAATGTAAAATTGGACTCGATCATTAAAACCTTTTCTTCAAAATCTTGTCACAATAATGCTAATTAATTTATGAGAAATGAAATCAGCATGTAACTGATGTTTCCTATTATTATTGCAAATATTTTGAAAAACTCTGAAATATGTTGTGGTAATCTCCAAAATGAATAGTTTATATCTCTATACATTCTGCATCAAATATTTCTCCATTGATTTATTTTCGATACATCAACATAATTAGAAACTCTTAACTGGCAGAATTTTTAATCAACAAATCAAATGAATTAGTTTATCTCATTCAACTGAATTAATTAGTCGATACTTATAAATGATTTTAATCAATTTTTATTTTTTTAAGGATATAAGAATTTTTTATATTTATTGTGAATAAATCCTTACTGAAAATTAGAGCTTGAAAATGCTAGCAAAGCAAAGTTTGTCTGCTTTTGTATGGAGTAACCTACGTTAAAAATTCTTAAAATAGGGATTCAGACATTTGGGTTTGACATCCTTTTATAGGATGGTGGATGCTGTTCAATGTCTTTAATTGACTAAGTGAAAAACTTGAGAGAAACTGGTATGGACGGATCTTAAGAGTACATACACTAAAATCCACTTGATGTGACTGCATCCTATATTTAAACATTTACAGAAAAGTAGATAATTTTAAGATAAAACATCAGTATTTTCTCTGAAAATGATAGTATTGAGCTAAATAATATCCGTGTAAACAAAAATGACATTAAGTGAAATGCGATTCTAGGGTTCTTAAGATTCGTACTGTGTCATTTAAAGTTAATATAAAACTGCAGTCTTGGAAATAACGTTGAACTCGGTCTTGCCTTCCATTATCAGACTTTATTGTTGGTTCTGTTGAGTCTGGCATTTGCTTTCTTTGTCTAGTTTCTAAGCAACGTAGGTGTTCCGGAAGAGTGGACGATGATCGATGTCATTGACTTGGATGACGAACACTTGGAAAATCTTCCGAAAAAAGTCAAAGCAGTTCTTCTTCTCTTTCCAACAGGAGAACAAGTGAGTATTATTTTGTTTTTATTTTATTTTTTTTTAATTTATTTAATTTTTTTTAATTGAAAGTTAAAAAAATTCCTTAATACAAAATACTTTATAAAAATTACTTTAAATGTTTCTGTATTTAATTTATAATATAATACCACACTAAATGAATTTAAACAGTAATGCATACATAGGGGATGTATTAAATAGTAGAAATATTTTATTACATTACATTTGCTAATGCAATAAATAGTAAATTTTCATGTGTTTCTCCTTAATCATCTCAAAATCATGCCAAAACCAAGAATATGAATTTTTCCCCCTTGCCTATTTTCTGTTCCCCCTCCAAAAACCTCTTTTGCATTATGTCATAGGCACAAATTCTGATTTGCATTTTAAGTCGTTACCTACATTTATAACGCCACATGGAAACCTTGTGCACTTGCTTGGTTAAGAAATGACTTAATTATTCAGCACGTAGCTGTGCATTTATTTCTCTAGATCGCTTGTCCAGAAGCTTGCAAATACTTTTTTCAAGTGACAGTATTTTCATTCTGCCAGGATGTCAAATCCGCTTACTTAAAAACAATAAAAACCTCCAAAGAGGTTTCCTCCGAAGTATTAAAAAATGAATTAAACAACAAATAGCAAGTAAAACTAAATAAAATATAAGGAGATAAATAAATTAATTAAAATATGCGTAAGAAATATTAAATGAAATAAATGAAAGATTTATAAATTAAAGTTGACAATACGGTGAGAATAATATAAATGTCATTGTTCTGAAGTATGTTTGTGATTTGCTTTCCAATCCATTTAAGTTGATTGAGTTAAGTGCTAAGTATTCCTCTTCTTTAAGAAATTTCTTTTCGACTTATCGGATTTCTTACCTAACAGTTAAAATTTTCTCGCATATTTTGCTTTTTCCGGGGAACACTTAGTTGATCTCAATATCAGATTTATTACCTGCTAAAAGAAATGGTGCGTTAATAGCTATTTTCGAATGATATTTTGTTTATCTTCACGATAAAATACCGGCGGTCACTTTATTTGAGCTTAGGCTGAAATTCCGATATCACTCAAAAACTGAAGTACTGGAGCTAATCTTCGGTAAGTTTAAGCTTTAAATATATGGATAAGCAATGCATTGGTATAATTTCAAATATAAAGTATCGGTTTTATCTAAAACCACAAGCCTTCAGTATTTGTTATACCTTCAGAATGCGTTTTCTCTGTTTTTGTATATGCGTTTTAGAAGTTCACAAAGGAAGTACGGGCAGCAGAGCTTATAAGAGTAACTTTTTTCACTGCAACTTTCTGAATTTCTATGAAAATTTACAGCTACCAAATATGCTTCATGTTGTGTTATACAAATTTCAAGTCAGGAAACAAATCTAAATTTTCGTGTGAAGGCCAGATTGCAGAATGCAATAAAAACACAACTGCATATATGCTACAAATGCAAGAGAATAAATCGTTTCTCCTGGAACGCGTCAAGAAAAGAGTGCTTTTTAGTACGATTTTGAAAATTCAGTGTTTTGGGCATGATATTCATCAACTGGAAGATTTTATTGCCCCATGGATTAGAAACAGTTTTTTGTTTTGATCAAACGTGATTTTTTACTCAAAAGATGCTCAGAATAGTTATTTAGCTGTTTAGACGTAGAGAATAACTAGTGAAACCACTCGGAACAGCAGGAAGAGAAATTATTTTTATTATAAATACTGTTGCTGCTGGTAGTTAACTTTGCGCTCCGAATATAATGATCTTTGACTAGACGTATTAAGAAACACTTCCCTCCTTCCCCGCTCAAACACTCGGTCAAACCCTTTCAAAGGCTTCTTTCAAGGCAGCGGTATAGCGACGAAAATGAATGGCTTCAGTTGTAAAATGCTTGAATTATCCTTGCAATCCACGTGTCTTTATATAAAGCGAAGTTCAACTAATTTGCCTTATGCAGGTTTTTAAATTTATTGAAAGACCTGAAATCTGCGTTCACCAAAATGCGTGTCTACACTTTCAGCTGTTTACGAACCTCAAAATACTGGTAATCGAAGTAACTTTTTAATAGTTCATGTATGCGTTAAATGAAATGTGAATAATTAATAAAACAAACGAATATGTTGTAATTGAAATTTTCTGCTAATTTTTAATTAATAAATATTTTCTAAATTCTGATTTCCTAGTTAAAAAATGAGTTATTTATATGATTATTAATTAATAGAAGATTAATAAGAAATATAGTTTAAAAAATGTATCCGATTAACTAGACTATCTTAAAAATAAACTAAATAGTTTGAAATGAACTATTAGATTTTAATTTATAGAAAACTATTTATTCCATTAAAAAAAATTAAAGCTCGCCAGCTGCCGAGCGGTAAAGTTGTTCGGTCGGAGGTTCGAAACCCACGAACGTGCTGATTGTATAGGTCTTTTCTTGGTTTTCCTTATGTGTTTCCTTATGTCTTCCTTCAGTTTCCCTTCGGAAATTCTCAACGAAAGCATCCCTTCCCTTAGGCAGATAGCCCCTGAGGTTTTGGCGTAATTAAATAAACCAAACCAAGCCAACCACAAAATTAAATTACTTAAAATATTCAAATACTTTAAAATACTGCTTTATCGATTGCCTTTTTTTAGAAAATTAAAATCTGAAAGCGTTTTAAGAGCGAATAATTTTTATTCATTTATTTATTTATTTGGTAGAGTGGAAACAAACTGCATAGTATTTTTAAACATATTAACATTTAATTTTGCAAAATCTATTTATTAGCCCTATAATTCCTGGCATCATTTTAAGCACAATTCTTTAACATCGCAGCAGTTTATATTTTCCGTCATAACTCTTATATTTTTGAAAATGTCATAATTTTCCCTGCTATAGGGGCAATTTACTTAAAATGAGTTGCTGAATTTTTTAGCTCTACGAGACTTAGAACATATCTGTTGATGAGCACAGAATGTCGCATTCTTAATAATAAGAGTAGAATGTCGCATATTCTACTCTTATTATTAAGTATACATAATTTATTCATCTTTTTCTTTAGCATGATGAATACTGTCAAAGGGAGCAAGAAACTATCGACGCTGAAGGCCAAGTGGTCAGCGACAGAGTCTATTTCATGAAGCTGGACGCCAACAATGCCAGTGGAACAGTTTCCATCATTCACGCTATCGCTAATGCCGAAGATGAAGTGGAGCTTGGTAAGAAAAACATATGATTTTCCTCTGAAACTCTGACTTGAAAACAATAAGCCTTCGGCAGAATTAATATTCCTAAAAGTAGTTTTTCAAAACATTCTTTCTGAATCTTTGCAAACAAATTTAGATTTACTAATTCAGAAGTCAAACAACAAAAATCAGCGTTATACCTACAAAATTTTCGCAGGACTAGTTTCGATGGTTTTACCGAACCATCATCTTCAGCTGCAAAACCGCAAATGAACAAGATAGGAAATAATGATTAGATAAGATAAAAAACCCCGGACAAGAATAAGCAAGTGGCGCCATCTGTTGGCGAAACCAGAACTAAAACATAATTTCTCTAAAAGCCGAAGGCAAATTTGGATTGGAATTAGGATCGTTAACTAGAACAGAAAGATTTTTTGAATGTGAAATGCCTCTAGAAAATCCAGTTCTCCAATGGAAGATGTTTTTTGAATAATTTTGGCAGCAGAAAAATTGAAAGTGTGATTTTCGGACCAACAATGTTGAGCAACAGAAGACTTCTGTGTTTCCTTTTTTCTAACATATGCCTCATGTTCTTTGACGCGAAATTTTAAGGCTCTCTTTAGTTTGGCCAATGTAAATTAAACCACACTGGCAAGGAATCCTATAAATACCCCAGGAATTCATATCCGGAATGGGGTCCTTGAGTATAGAAGTTGGAATTTTATTGATGGGAGAATAAACAACCCGAAAGTTAAATTTCTGCAAAATATGTGCAACTTTATAGCTAATTGATGGAAAGAAGGGAATGACAACAGAATTTTTATAATCTCCTAAAATAAGAGTGTGGCTTTTAGTGTGTTGAGATGAGAATTTTTTAACTGCTTGATTAATAATGTTAGGGTGAAAAGCCCCTGTCAATAGCTATTGCTTTTAAAAATAATTTAGTTCTCATCATTTTTAGCTCCCATCATAAAAATTCCGAGTCCATACTTAAGGACCATTCCGGATAGAATTCCTGGGGTATTTATAGGATTCCTTGCCAGTGTGGTTTAATTTACATTGGCCAAACTAAGAGAGCCTTAAAATTTCGCGTCAAAGAACATGAGGCATATGTTAGAAAAAAGGAAACACAGAGTCTTCTGTTGCTCAACATTGTTGGTCCGAAAATCACACTTTCAATTTTTTGCTGCCAAAATTATTCAAAAAACATCTTCCATTGGAGAACTGGATTTTCTAGAGGCATTTCACATTCAAAAAAATCTTTCTGTTCTAGTTAACGATCCTAATTCCAATCCAAATTTGCCTTCGGCTTTTAGAGAAATTATGTTTTAGTTCTGGTTTCGCCAACAGATGGCGCCACTTGCTTATTCTTGTCCGGGGTTTCTTATCTTATCTAATCATTATTTCCTATCTTGTTCATTTGCGGTTTTGCAGCTGAAGATGATGGTTCAGTAAAACCATCGAAACTAGTCCTGTGAAAATTTTGTAGGTATAACGCTGATTTTTGTTGTTTGACTTCTGAATTAGTATTTATTCGGCGTGTTATTGTGTCTTAAATTTAGATTTGTTTTGAACTCGTATTGTAAGTATTTCAAGTGCAAAATAACATAATTACCGCAAAATAACATAATTTTACTCTCATATTTTTCTCTCTACCTTTTCAGCGAAGGTTATGAAAATTTTTAATTCTTCATGTAATTTCTCCCTTGCTAAAGTCGTTCAGAAAGCGAGCCCCTCTAATGTCAAAATGCATTCGTTCAAGTAGTGACCATTTTGTCTTACTACACTGTTGGCCATTGAAATTGCTATGTCATGAAGGCGGCATGGAACAAATGCCAAATATGCAGGAAAAATACTACAAGCTGTAATATGCAAGTGATTAGCATTCCAGCGCATGAGTGCAAAGATGATATGAGCAACGCCATCTATATTGTGTATAAATAGGAAGACTGCACAGCAGGCATTCTTGCAAATCTGCTGATGAATTTCCAATACATACTTTGTATTTCATACGAAGCAAAGTATCTCCCAAGTGCAAAATTATTTCACAAGTGCAACTTTATTCCATTTAACATATGATTAAGTCAAGGGTTTCTTAAGAGGAGGGTTTTCGAATTACCAGCGAATATTCTGAACTTGTTTTTCAAAGCCGCAGAAATACTCATAAATTTTGCAGGAGAAGAATAAGTAATGATTACTGCATCAATAGCTCGACAGCAGCAAGAAACGGAATCGAAAATAATAATAATTCTTTGTGCCACTAGATGATGGCACATGCTTTGGCAATTCTTTTCGGGTTATCGGTGGCGGGCTTGCCCTCTTAAAAACCAGTTTACTACCGTCCTCCGTAGGGCAATAAGCTACAATATTGGTTAAAGCGTAGTCAGCTAAATGCGAATTGTACTCGCAAGTTCCAAGTTTCTAATTGGACTTCTCGTTTGGAAATCGCATTTGAACATTGGTTGTTTATGTAAAGGCCGTATTATGCCTCGTGTAAGGAGAAACTCTTACAGCACGTGATTAAATTCCATCGCAGCAGGATAGTAGCCAAACGAATATGGAATCGATGGGTCCTGAGGGGCTATACTAAACCCCATACAGAATCTCAGCGGACGCGAGCTTTTGATGGCCGAGAAGATAGTTCTCAGTCTTGTGGGATCGTTCAGCCACGTCGCATACCTTGAGTGAGGAATTTGGCTCGTATGTAGAACACGTATCCGTGCGGATAGTGCGACGACGTCTGCAGCAGCATGGACTGTTAGCACGGCGACCATTGTTGATGGTTTTTTTGACGCCAAGTACCCATCAGGGGTCGAGTGAAGTCACTGAATGCTAGTAGCACAACCTGGGTTCAATTCCAGGCAGACGGGCTGGTTGCACAGGAGTGTTTGTGGACTTCCCCATATATAACGTAGATACTAGGCAGTTTCCTCCCTTTCTTTAGGCCAGGGTTTCTTAAACTTTCTCAGTCGTGACCCCTTTTTATCAACTGCGATTTTTCGCGACCCCCAGGACCCCATAATATTCACAAAAATTTTATGGGACCCCCATAAGTATTGCGCAAATCCGACACACGTGTGAGTGAAACTGTCAATTTTTTCACTTGTACTGTAATATACTATTACAGTTTCAGGTCATTAACTTTAATTTTTAATTTTAAGACATAGAACAATGTGAAAATTTTAAATAAGTAACAGACGAAATGACAGCGGCATTTGCAAAGCAAGGAAAAGGAACGTTTATATTATAAAAAGAATGCGTCGAAACGTTTTTGCTTTTTTCTTTGTCTGTATTGTCTTATCTTTATCTATTTTCAGATACATTGTGTAAAAATATTTGGTAGTTGTAAAACTATTGTAATAAGTTAAAGAAATATCAAAACAGCTAAAATCGTTGGCGACACCCTGCTGCAAGTCCCGCGATCCCTTTGGGGAGTCACGACCAACAGTTTAAGAAACCCTGTTTTAGGCAAATAAGACTCGCGTGCTTTTCCTAATCAAATTATTGTTGACGAAGAAGACGGTCTGCAAGTTGTAGCAGACGACACAGGCAGAAGTTCTAGCAGCAATGAATGATTCGAGGCCTAAAAGGTGTGGCAGATGCCTAAAAGTGCGAGGGAGATTCAAGATATAAAGATACAGAAAGGAAGATATCTTACTGGATATTGCAATGTTAATATTATTATGTATTCTTGCTGAAATGTTTCTTTTAAATAAATAACATTGTGATAGTTACCAGTACATCATACATGAATACGTTTCATCATTCTTACTGTAATCGCATCTTTCGGAAATTAAATTATTCGCATAATTTTCCTCTCTCCATTTTTGTACGAAAAAATTAGTAAAAAAAGGGGGTGAATACGGTATATTAAACTGACTTGGCTGCTTTGTTAGACGCCTGGTTATATTCGTCCTTTTATAATTCGTAGAAGTCTCATGTTAATTATATCTCGAATTTCTTTCCTTTAGTACTATTAAACTGAATATTATTAAACTATACTATAAAATATTATTAAAGTTAATAGGATATTATCGATGCTCTCATATTATATACGAAAAATCAAGAATGTTTGCGTATGCTCGTTTTTATATTATGAGTTGAGTAATCTAGCAAGCACTTTATACTTCTTCTTGGAATGTAGATCTTGGAACGTTTGTAATGTTTCACTGCTGCTATATCATCGAGAATAGATCGGTTTTACTCAACATCGAATGAATGTATTGAGAACTTTTATGTAGATACGTTCTATGCCTTACATTTCAGCACATTACTAAATTGCTTATTCTTCCCCGCACGAGAGGGCGATGCGAATGCTTGCAGTTGTTATTTTGTTTTGATACCTAAATTGGTAACGACAGTGAAGCTTGGAAATTTTCGATTTTAATTGTGCGCGGGAGATGCTGCGAAAGAAACGTTTGCCTCTTTAACATTTGCCTTTTGATAATCGTGTTCGATATTCTTTTGACAAATTTCCTTAGAATCTATGTACATTTATTTATGCAACTATCTGTGTGTCTGCGTTATTAAAATGATGTATATACTCTGTATGTCTTCTGGGTTTCTTTCGAGCTAGAATTTTGAAACTTAGAATTTGAAATTACCATTGAACTTCAAGTAATTTAAATTTCGAAATTACTAATTTTTGATTTTCGAAAATTAGTAATTCCTAGAAATTGGGACAAAATTTAATTTGCAACAAAAGGTACAATAATACTAAACACAAATATATTAAGAAATAGCATTCGAATAACATGTTGCAACATCTGATTAATTATGAACTCTTAATATATTGTTTAGTGTCTAATATTTAACATTATCAAAACTTGTAAAGGAACGTTTTGATTTTCTTCGGAGAAGATATTTCGGCAAGCTTCTGAAGATAACAAATTGTATCAGCTTCGGTCTATAGTATAAAAAGCTGAAACTTGTCGAATATTCTGTATCATTTTCCGTACTACTTTGGAGCACAGAAGAATAAGCTCATTGCAGTGTTTCATATCAATGCTTTTTATATTTATCATTGACTTTCTGTCACTGAGATAGCCTTTACTTTCAGCTTTTTCATGGTCGTATTTTCCGGAGTGTATTTTTAGCCGAACAATTTGTCAAATCAAGATTATTAGGAAATCGATTTGTAATAGAATATAGGTCAAAATGTCAGGTTTCTGTCCTTGTTATGAGATAGTTTTGTAGAACATTTTACAACAGTTTTATTATTTAAATCTTTTAACCAAAAGAATGCTTGTTGCTTGAAATAAATTTAACATTCTATGTTTGCAATTCATAGCTGGTAAAAATAATGACGTACTTCGAAGAATAAGTTTGTACTGTTAGGAATACTCCCAGAAGCCATAAATGAGGTTTTTTTTTTTCTTGTTTAGAGTTGTACATTATTTCTTTAAAACTTAATCGAATTTCGATCAAACCGGATTTATTTCATACGAATTTTATTCAAATTTATCCTTGACATCAAAGAATCAAATTCAGTGTTTAGAACTTCATTCGCAGTGAGTTATCTGAAACACTTTTAAGCATTCTGCTTAGAAAATTTATATTCTGACCTATTAAAGCCTAAAAATGCTATTTAGGAAAATTAGACTTTTTTTCCAAACATCTGCAGAAAATAAGATTGGGGGGTCAAGTAACAGGCTGACACGAAAAGGAAAAACTTTAAAAATTACCACATAAATTTCACAACATGGGTTAAACATGTGGATGGTCGAGATATCAGTTCAGTTTTAGAAATAATTTAAATACTTTTTTTTTATTTGAATAATCAATTTCAACATATCACAGTTAGTTTTCATATATTACTTCAGCTGATGAATGTAGTTTTCGTAAGGTCCTTATCAGAGCTGAAACTATTTCAACTACCACGGTTCTGCAATTGTTTATGATTATAATTTGTTTATAGCTTTACTGGTAAGGGTTCGTGTACTAGACTATCCTGGTTGTACTTAAATACGGAAACGATTTATTTAGGCATCCAATTTTAATATGTAGCCATATGTTCTGTCGAGTGACTCTTCAGGATACTTACTTATGGGAAAATTCATGAACAGAGGCTACATAAATGGAAAAGTAGTAGCCATAGCAATCTATATTATCCTAGTGACTGATGAGCGGCAGCATTTTCATGCAAATAGCTCTGAAATAAGTTTCTATCAGCTCTTAAATTACTCTAAAGGTTTCCAGCCTGATAAAGCTCTATTATTTGCCAAGACTTTCCTTTCTTATAATCGACTTGTCCGAGGTAGACCTCTTTCGCCATCTCAAACCTCATATGTTTCCATGTACAAGCACTTCGAAATTCAAAAGTTAGTTTGTTCCAGAACAAAATAATTGACATGAATCAGATTAATTTCCGAAATTTCAATTAGTAGGGTCAAGTCGGTCATAAATGTTTCGAGTAATGTTCTGTAGTCTGGAGAAATACATTGAGATGAATGATTACGTTGAACAGCTTTGAATAACTAAGTTTCTAGTGTGCATGTGGTAGTGGTGAAGGGATTAATCATGTATCTGAATTATTTCTTTAAAGAACCATTTTCACTTTTCATGCATTTTTCAATGTCGAAATCATACAACTAAGGTATTATGAGATATAGAGATTAGCAAAGACGAATTGTGACTTACTGATGATGACTCTTTAGTGATCAGCAAAGAATGTACACATAAAGATTGTTTAATTTCTAATTAACGTTAGTTATCACTGATGAAAATTTAATAATAAGTCGGTACATCCAGAGATTATATATACCGTTAACTTAAGCTTTTTAAAGACTGAAGGGCGGTTGAAAATAGCGCCAGTATGCCATGAAATATCGCTGATTATCGTGTGCAGTAAATTTGCGAATATTAGATATCTCTTCCTATTTTTATCGTCAAATTTTATCACATGGGTTTAACTTTCAGAGATTAAAGAATAAGATTCGTGAAGAAAAAATTCCGACGTAACACCCTCGATGTAAGAAGACGTAACTGTATTGAATTAGTTAACGGAAAATATATTGGTAAAATGGCGTTATTCTAAACATAAAATTGGAACAGCTTCGCGCAGCTATGACAAAAAGATGTGGGAAATTGAAGTCTGAAAAAATTCTTGATGCAAGGAATTTGCTCCTAAGTCCGAATTTTCAAGTGAGATAGAGTTCAAAATATTCGATTCCAAGGACGAAGCCGATCGATGATCAATTTGACGCAATAAGTGACAGGGAGCAAAAGGCTGATATATCCTGCAGAGTATATCTTTCCGTGACAACTCTTGCGGAAAATACGAAAGATGGACGCTTGAATTGGCTTCATATATTTTGCACAAGTTTCAATTCACTTGTACAGTAAATCCTGAAGTTTATGTTGTCAGCTAATAGGAAAATTATTAAAATTCTTGGTGGGAATACGCTTCGAAGGAAATACTCATATATATACAATTTAAATCTTTAAAAAATTTTCATCATGTTATTCGAAGAAATTAATCAGCTGGCATGTTGCAATAAAACTCTAGTTTTCAAAAAGAATAAAGAAAATTAAGAACTATTCGAATAATTCCTTAGTTTTGAATATGAATGTTCAGAATCAATATTGTGCACGATATAACTTGTTAATAGGTGCCACTTTTTTTCAGTTTCCGGCAGAAAACTAAGGTAACTGTTGTAATCTAGAAAAATAGTGCGTTTGCGAAAATCTTCGTTACAGTCTGACGGGCCTATTAATAGTGAAAACCGATTTTTAAAGCTGTCGTTTCGTGGAAAGGAGCGTCTAAAGCAACCTGAAAAAGCTGGAAATTCGAATCTATGTGGCCTTAGAGCCTTGTGTGGGCCAATGCGTTCAAGAAAGAGAAAATACTGTCAATCATTAGATATCTAGGCATATCAGTTAAGAAAAACCCAATGTTTCAAGAGCCAGTTAAAATTAATTTAGCCCCCTTTTGTAAAGTAAGAACCATTCAAGAAAGTGGTTAAACAAATTCAAGTAAAGAGCGAAAATTGCATTGATTATCATTTTATGGAAAAGCTATGGGAACCATATTTCAAAATTTGAGAAAACACCAACTAATTTCAACATATTTGCTATTTAATTCTCATTTGATATCTAATTTACTTGTAAACTTGCAATGGAATGTACAAAATTGCAGTCAGATACGCAACATAGAAAATTCATCTTAAGATGAAGATTTGCTATCATTAAACTCCAGATTCGTTTAAAAAATACATCGGACTCTGAACATTCAGTAAAAGACGACAGTAAAGTAAAATTAACTAAGTACTTCCGATTTAATGGTAAACGGTATGAGGGCTTGTTTAGCTGGAAGTCATCGAAACCCTGGTGCATTTAAACACACATCTGTGAATGATCACACTATGGGCGTTCTGACGAGATTTATCCATACATGTCTCGTATTCATGTAGATGAAGTGAGGCTATTCCAACATGACTACTTCCACACAATTGTCATGATGCCATATTATGGTTACAAAAGCACTAATCTGAGCCTGATGTTCTACCATTCCCAACGAAATCTCCAGATCTAAAAGTGATAGAACATATTTGGGATGCCATGGATCGCGCTGTTAAGCAGAGAGATCCAGGACCTTGGAATACATCTAAATTCTGGAACGCTTTGCTGGAAGTAGGGTGTGCATTGCCTACTACATACTTTTCGAAGCTCGTGAAGTCCATGACCCGTTGTGTTTCTGCTGTCCTTTGCTTCTATAGTCGGCTTACAGTTTTTTGGCTTTTCTGGCTCCTGAGTTTATTTATGATTCTGATTATTATTTATGCTCCTGATTCTGATTTCTTTGAATTTAATAATGGTTTAAATACCTTTTATTTTAATTTGTAGTCGCAGTTTTAAATTTGCAAGGAGTCTGACAGACATATCAAAGCATCAGCGTAACGCTAAGGTATTTAAACTCAACGCCCATTTAAAAATAATAATAATAATTTTTAATGATTTATCTTCAATTTAATTAAACAAATGAAAATTAAGTAACGAAAGGAAGCGAATGATGAATTAATTAAAAATTCTTTGATACAGTAGACGTGTTAATCTCTGATCTATAAATTAATTAGTACTTGATAACGAAATTATATATTCCTCTTCAGTATTTTCTGTTTGATTAGTCTATTTGCTGGCAAGGATGATTATTACTAATCACTTGGTCAAATAGACCTGTAACATGTTCATGAAATGTAAATTTTGTTTTAAGTAACTTTCATATTTGGTGGTTGATGTTATAGTGTGTGAGTACTTAAAGTACCACATTATGTAGTGCCTAAATACATTATATAACGTAGTTTTTAAGTTAAATATGAAATTTCACAAAATAAATGTAGCCGTTTTAGTTTTCATCCTTGTCCACTGTAATTTGCAACTTTTAATTTCGAAAAATTTTTTTAGATGACGGATCATCTTTGAAAGAATTCTTAGAACGCACCAAAGAAATGTCCCCAGAAGAAAGGGGACAAGACTGGAGATGGACGAGGTAACTATATATATATGTATATAAACATCTTCATTTTTGCATTTCAACATTAGATACTCCGCCGCCCAGTCGGTATAGTGGTCAGGGAAGCTGACTGCGATGCCGAAGGGCCTGGGTTCGAATACCGGAGAAGGCATGGTTGTAATTGTCCGTCCCTTCATAGGAAAGGCAAAGGTGGCCCACCTATTAGTTGCATCCATAATAAAGAGACCACCACATCCGGCCTTGTATAGATTAATGGACTGGGTTACATTTGTAATTGTTCACAATCTACCATTGAAGGAAAAAAAAAAAAACCATTGGATACTCCTAGTGTGTTTTAGTTCACCAGCGGCCAAGCAGTGAAATCGCTAAACACTGGTCATTTGACCTGGAGTCAAATCGAGATGCATGTGCTAGCTAGATGCGAGTTTTGACGCTTTTCCGTATGTGTATCGTAAGTAAGAACTAATTTTCCTTAAAAAATCCTCCACGAAGGCATCCTTTCCTATAGGCAGATAGCCATCGTGGGACTCCATGATTAGTTTACCAAACCTAATTACGTTACTATACTTTGCATAACGCGCAACAATGTATAAAAAATGCCAATGTGTAAGTTTTTAAAACTTTTCAACTTTTTTCAACTGTTAGAAACATGAGTAAAGCTTACTTATGAAGTCTGAGATTTTGACTCTATTATTACGATTCGAATACAACGAAAACTGCAATATAACAAATTGTCTATCTACTTTACCTATAATTCAGAGTTTCATCACTATTTATAGCTGTAATTAGAAAATTGTTTGTTCTTGATGCTCCCAGCAGATTTCACAACATGCTTCCTCTGATCCTTGGTCAGAAGAAAGCGCAACTAGCTCCTGTTAAACTCAGGACTCCTTGTGCCTAATCAAATTAGATTACTTAACGCGGTTAATTCGATCCCGCTTCAAAAACCCGGCTAGAAAGTGGCTACATAGTCATTTTAGTGATTTTTCTTCATATGTAATATTATATGAATACGAGGCAGGTATCCTTAGAAATTTCTCCATTAAGGAATCCTCCCCTTAGCAGATTCCCGTCACGTATTTTTCCATAACTCATTAAATTGTAGGGTTCTCCTCTGTGTTAGTTTATCTTAAAGTCCTTAACCCAACATAGACTGACAAGCGAGTTATCGCACCGTCTTTGTAAACTGCAGAGTCATTAAGTAAATTGTTTTATTCAAATCTTGAACTTAACAATAACACAGTTTGTACGTATAAATTAAAACTCTGCCACTTGCGGAAATAGCAAATAAAAGAAAAATGAAAATTAAATTTTAACAATATTCGTGGGCAGGAGACTACAGTATAATTGGTCTAATCAAGCGCTATGCTATCTCAATTTCTAGTTGCGCGATTAACTTCGCATAGCAAATGGCTAATGCTGGCTCACAAACGTGACAGAACAAGGCCCTTAAGCAGTCTCAGTGACATACGTTGTCCATCTCTGTAACATGAGCGTCCTTGACACAGTTTGCCCAGTTTATTTTTCTGTTAGTGAAAAGTTATGCGGAACGATCATCAGTTGGTAGATCATATTTCTGAAAGCATTATATTAGCGTTTTTATTCTGTTTTCAAAGTCTATTTTTCTAATTAAGTGAATCTTCTCCATACCTGGTGCAGATTTAATGCACATATGTCTTCATATTATGTTCCAAGTGCTAAAATTCAGTACAGCACACTATGTACGAATTTTAAAACTAGTCTTAGAAACGAGGTTAACCCTGGGGCACTTTGATAATAGTGTTTATGATGCATATGGCGGTAACTAGCGTAGGAGCTATACGCTGACTACCAATAAGTATTTGGACACCTATACAAATGACGATATCTGAGGTCCTAAGGTACGTCACGGACTCCGCCGGTATATATCGTGTAGGAAACAGCATCGGCTTTAGTCGCATGCAAGATGCGTCGCAGTTCGGAGCTCTCTGATTTCGAGAAAGGTATAATTATCGGGTATCACAAATGTGGCCGATCCTTAAGGGACATATCTAGCGATCTGAAGTACCCAAAATCGACAGTGGCCTATGTGATTAAGAAGTAGAAGGGGAGAGGGGATTGTCGGAATGTGTCCCGAGTCGGCAGACCAACGAAACTGGGCGATAGAGACCGACGAGTGCTGTCCATAGAAATTCGGAAGAACCGCACTCAATCGATGGCCCTCATCCGCGAGGAGTTTCAACAGGCATCCGGGAGTATTGTTTCAATGAATACCATCCGTAAGGAAGCACATCTGCTTGGTTTTCATGGTCGTGCTGCTGCCCATAAGACTTTGATCACAAAGTCCAACCGCGCTGCTCGGTTAATGTGGTGCAAAGCACATCGAAAATGGACCGTAGATCAGTGGAAACAGGTTCTTTGGAGTGACGAATCAAGGTTCATCTTTTACCGTTCGGATGGCAGGGTCTGGGTCTGGCGTCTACCTGGAGAACGTCTCCTGCCAGAATACATTGTGGCAACAGTCAAGTTCGGCGGAGGTGGAATTATGGTCTGGGGGTGTTTCTCCTGGTATGGGCTGGGACCTTTGGTCCCCATTCATGGTAAGCTCAACTCCGATGCCTACTGCACTATATTGGATGACAATGTGCTTCCTACGTTGTGGCAGTTTTACGGGTTGGACCCCTGTTACCTTCAGGACGACAATGCCAGTTGTCATGCTTCGACGTTAACCAAGGCTTGGTATGGTGCCAATGAAGTTCATCGAATGGACTGGCCTGCCCAGAGTCCAGATCTGAACCCTGCCGAGAACCTCTGGGACGAGTTGCATCGCCGAATTCAGGGGTGCACTATCCGTGCAAAATCGGTGAAGGAACTTCTATGTCTTTCTCCAAGCCGAGTGGAAGAAAATACCACTAGCTGTCATACAAGAGACTTGAAAGTATGCCCCGGAGGGTCCACGCTGTAATTACCTCTCGTGGAGGCTCTACCAACTATTGATTTTGAATAAAGTTAGTTTTTCTTTTCTATAACAGGTGTTCAAATACTTATTGGTAGTCAGTGTACAACGATTTGAAATTTTTCGCATTACCGCTAAAGTAGTTGCACGTTTTTCCATTGACAAAATTAGCGTAATTGAAAGTCGTCTGAAAGTAAAATAATGAAATGAGTTTAGCACTCAGAATGTTAAATATGTAGATAATTTATATCGATTGGAAACACAGATCTCGAAAATACATTTGGATAATTAAATAATACGTGTAAAAATTATACTCATTTTGTGCGTACAATTTTGAACAGCGATTTGCGCTTAGGTTTGCACAAAATGATCCCGATCTGTTAAAAATAAAATGTTGGGTAACAGCACATACAAAGATACCGAGTTCATCAGAGTAACTCGTAGGTTTATTGTTTTAAAATGGCTATCATAAGTAGTGGCTCAGATATTTTTATTGTAATATAAGGTATTTCTCCCACCTTCCTAGCGTTCCTTCGTGGTGTAGTGGTTCTGCACTCTGGGCTGGTATTCCAGAGGTCCGTAGTTCTATTCCCGGCGAAGGCGGTTGCTTATGTTTCATCTCTCCGGCTTTTCCAATTAACCTACTGTCTATACAGTGGCGCCCGAACTAAAAGGGTTGTGGATGTTGACTCTCCACACCCAGGATTTGGCGATTGGGGTCCTCTAATAAAACCCCAGTCGCCCTTTAAAAAGGGGAGTATATAAGATATTTCTCCCACCTTCTTAACGTGCCTTCGTAGTGTAGTGGTTCTGCACGCTGGGCCGGTAATCCAAGAGGCCCGTGGTTCGATTTCCGGTGAAGGCGATTGCTAATTTTTTCATCTCGTCTGCCTCAAAAAAATACCTAATGCCTCTGCGGTAAGTATTTCATAAAAGCAAAACTACTGACTAAGCTTGCCGTAGCTTTTACAGGTATATGAGAAGGACTTGAAGATAGTCACCGTTGGTTTTAGATTTGTTTGGATGGAGACAAAAGATATATAAATGAGAAAATTTTGGATGTCTATCAGTGGTTACTGATGAAGTTCTGAACTAAAACATAAAAGATGAACTGTATCTAACCATCCAAAAACTAGCTGAGACATCGTGGGTTTTCAGAACAACAGTCGAAAGACAAATGCAGTTTTCTGGGTTCATCACGAAGTTCGATCACATCGCTCTAAATTGCTTTCTGAAAAGCAGTGAGAGACGAGAGACAGTAACTCTGCTTCTTTGATTTCTTGTTACATGCAACCATTTTTTAGAACAAATGATAACAAAAGGTAAGAAAGGGGTCTGCATCCTATTGTTAAGCATTACAACATGTCGAGTTGCAGAACTATGCAATCAACCTCCAAAGGAAGACCGCATCTGAACACGTCTACGATGGAAAGATTTAAAGGAGCCATCACCTTGGATGTAACCAAACTATGAAGACTGACCTGTACTGAATACAACTGGCTAGCTAGAGAGGAGAATTAATGTTTTAGAGGTTAGTAGTCGTCAGTTATTAGTGTGTTATCTTTCATCGTGCTAATGTCAGATCTCATGTTGTATTACAATGCGAAACATGCTGATTTAATACCTCAACAAAAAATACTGGACTGTTATTGGGAAGTGTTAACCCACCCCGAGTGTTACCCTGACCTCAGCCCTACAGATTGTCTTCTCACTGGATTATTACAGAACACCTTCACTCTCAAAATCGTTGAAAATGTAGGGGATGCGAGAGCTACTTGCAGACTTTTAACTCCAAATTAAATTTTATTGTGGTGAACAAACCCGATTTCAGACAGATTGTGGTGGACATACATAATGCTCGCAGTTATATGAAACCAGATTTTGTTTACCTTTTGCGCTTTTCGCTTTCCATTTTATGACTAAAAAACGGGAAGGGCTTTTTCACACACCTAATTAAAAAATATAATGAATTCTCTTCTTAACACTTTATTGTCTTTCTTTACAGGCATTATGCTGTGTGCATGAATCCCTCGCTAAAGAAGGACAGACCGAGGTGAGTCTCCCTTTGCTTGGGAGATAAATTTCATTACTTTTTACTTCATTATTTCTTCTTCTATATCAAGAAAATCCTCAAGAAATTTTATTTTCAATACTTAAAAATCTCAATTTATTTTTTAGTTCCTTTCTAATTTTTTTAAATGTCTAGTTGCTGTTAGTTCTGACATTTATTTCATTTCTTTAAACTTTTTGTGGACAGGCACCAGAAGGAGACGAGAGCACGAACCTCCATTTCATAACCTTCGTTGCGGTTGATGAACAACTGTATGAGCTTGGTGAGACTTCTGAAATCGTTTAACAACCATAAATGTATTCGTAACAAATATCTTAGATCTTGAAATTTGCTTTCTTTCATAATTGCTTTCCTCTTTTATTTGAAGTAGTCACCGTTGGTCGTAGACATATACATTCAGCAGCAAAAATGTTTCAAATGACGAAAATAATCACGTTTATGGCATTTTTAAATAATAATAAAAAAAAATAATAATAAAAACACTTATAAAAATGACAGTACAGTGAAACCTTGGTTCTCGAATATAATTCGTTCCTGAAGGTCGTTCCTCATTCGTAATGTTCCTAAATTATTTTTCCCATAGAAATTCAGGCAAAGTGGATTAATCCATTCTTGGACTACTGAGGATTATCTATTTAAACTTTAGAATAATTTTATGCGTAGAAGTTCGTAACACAAAATCAATAGAAATAATTAAATTTAAGCCTCCTCTCCCCCCCAGAAAAAAAAGAGTCACAATTTAGATAAATAAAATAGATAAACTTTAATGTCATATTACTCGTACCAAAAAAAAAAAAAAAAAAAAAAAAAAAAAAAAATGAGCGACATAAGTGGAAAGTGATGAAGAAAAAGACGAGATGTTATTATTCAGATGAGCAAGTTCCTTAACATACAGATCTTTCTGGAGTGTTTTTTAAAATCTTTTATTAGTATCTTAGCCCACTCTGTTTGAAATTCACTTCATTTCACTAAAAAATTTGCCCCATGTGATATGTTGTTTTTTATATTTAAAATGTTTCTAAAATTATACATAACATTGTTATTGAAAACTGTTCTGAAAATTGTTCTGCAGTTTGTTACTGCTTTACCTAGGTGTAAACTTTGCATCTTACCCCATTTTACAATATTTTTGCGTATCTAAGAGAACTATGATCATTTTCTTTTAGCTTCCCGTACCTCTGAAAAAATTCAGCTCCAATTGCCCTTTGTTTCTACTGAATTTATTGCAGTTCTTGTCGAGCTCATTTTTAGTGTTCTCTAGTAACTTTTTGTGTTCTTTGTTAATATCCAAGCCCCAGCTTACAGATACAATACCGCAGATAATAAAACAAAGCGTAAAGCTCTCGGTTATTGCCTGCAACATAATTTAACCATAATTTTCTAAAGGCCGAGTTCATGGGCCCTGTAAGTCATTTACTACTTTATGAAAGAGAGTTCAAAGGAAATTATAAAATGTTTCAGGAAGTTTTTGAGTGTTAATTACGCAGCATTTGTTGTCTGAAAACACCTTTGAAAATTATTTGTTGCCGATTTAAGTGTTTGTAACTCGAGACGCTTTCGTCATCCGAGGCTCTTTTTGTTCACATAATATGTTCGTGAGTTGAAGTTCCATTGGACCTAGATTTTTATACATACCTCAGGTACCTATGATTACATTTATGAAAATTTTTATACTCGTGAAAAAGTAGAATTTTGACTTTCATTAAAAAAATCGTCCGAAATATTTAATGTCGAAATTTGAGATTTTTTACATAATTTTCTGCTTGTCTTAAGGAAGGTCTGCGAAAACATAGTTTTTAAAAGTTGATTTTTTCCCTTAAATTCCATTCAGTGGTATTGTTTTATGATTTACCAGTGTGTAATATTCTTTAATTTGTAAGTTTGTTATGTATATTCTGCCAAAAGAATTTTTCCACAAATAATTTAAGAGTCTTTAGACGCAAACTTGCGTTTATATTCACACATATGCTTTTATTTCTTTAGAATTTAGTCTAGTAATTATGCAAAGAAAATATATTAAATTAGAAATGTTTATCAGTTTTAATTTATGCAAGTAATGTTATGAGTTGGCTACGTGACTTTACTAAAGTCACTGTTTTCAGGAATACAAATTCCAGAAGATTTTGAGAGCATAAGGTTTTTCCTTTCATACGATTTTACCTTCTTTTCGAAAAAAAAAAAAAAAAAAATTCTGAAATGTTTCAGATTTTAAATTACGTCCAAAGGGGCGTTTTTTAACATTTTGTGTGTTACCTTTTTTTATTAAATATCATGTTCCTCGCACTTAAACCATAAGATCCAGTGCAACAGCAATATCGCAAAATAGTTTTAAAACGAGCATATCTTTAGAATTTCCGATACAGAGACTCACGCGCTGGAGATAAAAATGTTTTTTTTCTGCACAACGTTGCCATTGCTCGCTTTGTAATCCTTGAGTTTGTTAATCAAAAATTCGTCAAAGTTTTAAAAAATAGGAAATCGACCATAAAACAAATTTCAAATTTCAAATTTGGTCTTCCACATGCTCATATTCGTTGGAGGATTACGTTATTCAAAATTCGATGACTCTATGTACCGTTGTTTTATCACAATACGAGAAATATACATACATTTATGCAGATTTTTCATTATTTAATTTCTTCAAATATAATGCAGGACTCTAACATTTTGTGGCAACAGTTTGAAAAGTGAACCGACATTTATGAGTCCGACGCAAAATGCCAAAACGAAACTAATAGTCCTTCGGGATTCAAATCCCTTTGGACTAAAAAAAAAAAAAAAAAAATTAAATTGATCAGTACTTTTCATGAGGATTCGCCTATCATTGCTTTTAGTTAATTTATTAACATCAGAAACTTTTCTTTGACCTGATATTTTTTTTTTAATTCCGTACAAATGGAAAACATTTACCTCTTCATGTTGACCACGGCGTGACCCCTGAGTAAGATTCAAATATTAAATATCTCTAATTTTTATAGTACGGGAGTAAAACACTTTTGAAGTATTTTGTTTTATAATGAATATAAACTTTTACTAAATAGGTTAGCAGGTTATACAGGTTAACTATATAAAAAACGTATATTTCGCAGTTTTTGTAATTTTTTTTTTAGTCCAAAGGGATTTGAGTCCCCGAAGGACTATTACTTTCGTTTTGGCATTTTGCATCGGACTCCTATAAATGTCGGTTCACTTTTCAAACTGTTGCCACAAAATGTTAGAGTCCTGCATTATATTTGAAGAAATTAAATAATGAAAAATCTGCATAAATGTATGTATATTTCTCGCATTGTGATAAAACAATGGTATCTAGAGCCACCCAATTTTGAATGACGTAATTCTACTGCGAATATGGGCATCTGAAATCCCAAATTTGAAATTTGGAATTTGTTTTATTATCGATTTCATATATTGTAAAACTTTAACGAAATTTTGAGTAACAAACTCAACGATTTAAAAGCGAGCAATGGCAACACTCTATGGGGGTAAAAAACTCTTTATCTCCAGCGCGTCGAACTGTGTATCGGAAATTCTAAAGATATGCTCATTTTAAAATTATTTTGCGACATTGCTATTGAACTAAATTTCATGGTTTAAGTGCAAAGAGCATGATATTTAATAAATAAAGGTAACACACAAAACATTAAAAAAACGCCCCTACAGACGTAATTTAAAATCTGAAACATTTCACATTTTTTTAAAATTTTATTTATTATTATTATTAATTTTTTTAAGATTACCAAGCAATAGATATTCCTGTCATTTAAAGCATTTTTGTATTTGGAAGTATGTCTGTGACAAATGGCTGCTATAACAAAGGCCGCGTAAAGACTGTTGTGGTCATGGTTTATGAAATTAGCCTTCCGAAGCAAACCTCTCTTCTATATACAGATAGTGGTTTTACTGAATAAAAAATTTATATCATGCACAAATTCCTTAATATTGGTCACGGATCTAAAAAAAAAAAAAAAAAAAAAAAAAAAAAAAAAAAAAACCACGAGCCTTTTTTTTTTTTTTTTTTTTTTTTTAATTATTTGTGTTTGATAAACCCTCTAGACGGAGTTAGCTGAACTTTGCATAGTACGAATTGGAAGGGAAGGAAGAAAGTCACAAAAGTTCTCATGCAGCCAGTTTCATTAATAATACATATTTAGAATGAAACTGCTAGCGTGTGTTGCCTTTAGCCACTCACCCAGATGCGTAATGTTGTAATAGGTTCAAGGCTATCGGTTGTCTGACTAAGATACGGACTTCTTCATTCACAGCAAGGAAAAATTTTTAAGTGGTATGCATCAAGAGCATCTTTTGATGAAGTTCAAGTAGTACCAAATGTATCTCATAGCTACAAGACCAACTGGCTGTATTGGAAACTTCCAAGATTTTGTTAAAATTTTTATTTGATAATCTAAAAACAAATGTGAAGTAGATCATTAGAGTTAGCTAAGCAAAACATTTAAATTAATAAGTAATACATAATCACTATATATCAAACGACCGAATGAGGTTTGAACATGAAATTAGTATTAGAAAAAGTGTAAGGATGAAACTGAATAAATAGCAAGTATTTCTCCAGATTATGATAGCAATTATTTCTTCTTATCAAATTCATTTATGTATGAAGCTATTCTTTACACAGAAATATAAAGCGAAATAATTTATACACGTATGAGCTGATTGTTTTCATGTGAATGAAAAATCATTGCTTAGACTATTAGTCGGTTATTTTGAGGATAAGCATAGTTCAAGTTTCTGTGTATTTTAATACTCTTTTTTTGAAATAAAGTTATAAACTTTCCACTTAAAAACTTTTTAACTAAATATATTTTCATCTTTTTGTGTAGTTCAAAATTTTGTTTTACTTAGTATTAATTTACTGATCTAACTATTCAAGTTTCTAAACAGGAAGTCATAATTGCACTGAAGAGAGCATAATTAACCGCATCTAACAATTAATAATTTTTATTATTATCTAAACCTCCAACAGATGGCAGCATATGATAAGTGAAACCTTTGGGAAATGTTTCTGCAGTTTTCCGGTAGAGGGCAGCACCTCTAATTTTTTAAGACTGGAAGTTATTCAAAATTAAAATACTATGATAAATTCATGCTTTGTATTTAAAAGTAATTCATTCCAATAGTATTTGAGAAAATCCTTAAAAGTAAACTAAAATAATTGTTTTTTTTAACCATAAAATACTGGTGCTTCACATTATTTTGAACATCCTGAAATCGAATGTATTTAATTCTACTCGGTACATAACAGTCTTTAATCCTAACTCCTGCACTCGTCACTCTAAGGACAAAAGGGGAATACATAAATAAGTTCTGTAAACTAAAGGAAATATAGTAATATAAATAAAAATAGCTCCAATATGATATTTTAAGTATTAACTTATCTATTTCAGCCAGTGTTTTGCTGAATTACTCAACCATAATTTCTAACATTACATTCAGATTACATATTTCAGAAATTTTTTTACAAAATCATAACAGGAATATTTTCTACAGAAAGGTTTACAGAATATACTTAGCTCATATTAAATGTATAATACGTTTTCAAATAAAGTTGTATGAAATGTTATCAAATTTTAAGATAATGGGATTCATGTTTAGCTTAGTTTCAACTATAATTAATTGAAAATTTGGTAATAAATAAATGGTATTTTAAGATAAGTATTTAAATTTTAAGATTTTCCTCATCTTTTTTACTATGATATATAAGGATTTCCCAATAGCAAGTAAAGTAATGCCCTAGACAAATTTTTAAAAGAAATATAAATTTTTAAACACTAACAGCAAATTTTAATGATCTTAGAATAAATTTGATATCTGTATGAGTTAGCAAGCGGTTTCTGAGAACTTTGAATAACAAACAGTACCTTACACAGCCAAATCGCTGCAGTTTTAAATAAATGGATGTGTGCTGCCATCTAGTGAAGCATTTAAGAAAATATTTCACAATTATTGCTATTAGCTCACGTTACATAATTGGACATTCCTTAGCTTCATTAGAAGGACTATGGCAATCAAACGAAATGATTGCATGTTATTGTTCTGTGTGTAGCGTAAGTACAGGCCAGTTTTCCTCAGATTCTGCACGAAAGCATCCCGCTTCAGACAGATGTCACTAGTGTGCTTTTCCATTATTAAACAACTCGTCCAAGCAGAATGGATGGAGTGGAACATGTTATGCTTTCCTCATCTGTAGAATCAATTCTAAATAATGTTCGTTGAATAATAATAAATGTTCGTTGGCGGCCCAGGAAGCTCAAAGGACTGGCATATTTTCTAATAAGCACTTATATAAATTTTAGGATCTTCATATGTATGTTTACTTTAAATGGAGCCCCAGCAGTTCAAATGTTTAAGACCGCTGAATACTAGGAGTTCGACTTGCGCTCTTTCCTGGGCAAATGGACTGCATACGTGATTGATTTCTATGCTTTTCACAAGTGTATCGTGAATATGAGCTAGTTTCCTTAGAAAGGCCTCCACGAAATCATTCCTCTCCTGAGACAGATAGCCCTTGAATGCCATGTTCAGTAGCCTTGCCTGTGCAGTCTAAGTGAAATTTTAACCATCTACGAATACAAATGAATATTTACATTTACGTATTACTCACACTGCTTTATTACTTCACAAAACATTCTTTCAACCTATGACACCTACTGTTAGATTTGGGAACGTCTAGGTTTATTGCAACCCTTACAGCTAGCTCTGTGAGTTCTAATTATTAGGTGCCACAGACTTTCCTTACACGAGCCAATGGAAGTGCTATCTCCAGGCCCAAGCGACAAGAACTCAGTAACATTTAAATTAACTTTAATGAGTCTCTACTTGAGAATCACCATAAAAATCCAGATAACAGTCCACTTGACTATTCTAAAATTCACACTTCAGTTTTACTCAAAGAGGAACCACAATTATAATTTTAACGTGCTAAGCTTACAACCGTAGTTTACTGTTTTGGACAGGAGTTCTCTGGGATCATCTACAATGGCCAGGATTAAACATCAATAATCAGCAGCTGCTGCGTTCTGGCGGCTCCTTCCTCCAGGTTATTCTGCCGTAATTAGGCACAGACTTGGATTGAAGTTCTTCAGATAGCAGCCGACTTCAGAAAGGCCTTCGGTTCCAGTTACCTTACTTATACCCCTACGCTTGTCTAACAAATCTACATAACCATCTGAAAGGAACTAGCTGCCTGACTAAGTCAGAAGTGATAGAAAAGGTGTAACTTAAAAAGCCAAGTCGTTTGTTAAAAATAAACTGTCACAAATCTTTTGTACAGTAGTCTAACTATATAAAAAAAAAAAAAAAAAAAAAAAAAAAAAAAAATGTTGAAAATTTACTGAGATTATATGACCGTTGCAGTGTTCTCCTCTGCTTTTCCCTACGGCGAAATACTGAAATTCTTAAGATTTTGGTTTACCGCGATAAAGAGCTGCATGGGCTTTCCCTCATTTTCCTTCCTCTCCTTATAATAATGGAAGCACTTTTCATCCTTTAGGTCATCTACGAAAGCATCTTTTCTTTTAAATAGCTTTCAGTGCTTTGGCTCAGTTATTCAAGCAACTAACGAGTGAATAAAGGAAAGGATTAAGTCTTTACCCATATACTTGCTGAAAATTTATAAAAAGCAAATTCTGAATAAAATAGGATTGAACAGTAATTCTTTCAGTGTGAAACCCTTTGTAAATGAATGAATAATATGAAATTATAATAAAAATTATGAAGCAACTGAAACTAACCATTTTTCTCTATGTCTCTAACGTATTCACTGAACTTTGTAAAATGAGCAGATTAGTGATTTTAAAATAACTGAATTCTTGATAAACATTAAGATAAACGTATTTGTCTGTTTGTGCACTTAGCTGGCGCATGTGTTATAATTTTAATCTGCGTTGCTCAAGCCTATAATCGGTCAAAAATGTTTGCGTAATAATAATAAGATTACGTTTTCTACTTAAAAATCTTTACTGATTAGAAAGGAACACAAAACTGCACGCACTGCATACTTTTTGGAGGAAAAATTTATTCAAAAATTGCAGATATCAAAGCAGGAAACACATTTATTAGACCAAAGTAAAAAGGGAGTAAAAAGTAAAAACGAAAGTATTAAATGAGCCTATTCGATATTTTTGTGCTGAAATCTTACTCTTTTTCAGATGGTCGTAAAATTTATCCAGTTAATCATGGATCAACGAGTGCAGAAACACTTCTGAAGGTAAGTTCTGTAGAACAACATTTTCTTTTTCATTAGTGCTGGCCAGTAAGTTGGTTTCTTGATACTGAATGGTGTTGTACTTATACTCAGACGCGGCTCCAGTTTTAAAGCTGTCTAAGTTCACTAATTCATATGTGCTGAAGATTTTTAAAATAGCCTGTAATCAAAATATTTTTGTGTTAGATTGTTTAAAGGAAACTCTTACACGAATTTATGCATTAAATGGGGAAGAAATGAAGTGAATCAATTGTAAATATTCTATCGGTATTTATATTACAAATTCTGTTTTAAATGTGCATAACTCACTTATTTGTTGTGAAATAACATTACGTATGATAAATTGTATCCGTACGGCGTAATATGGTAAGAAAGAACAATAAAAATTAATGCTCAGGTATCTTGATAATCTTAACTAAAATTTGTTTTTGACTTAATGATCTAGAATATTAAAAATAATAATAATAGTGAAATAGAATGAAAGTAGAAAAAAAAATTGTTTTTCAGTTTCACTTTTTTAAATTAATTCCTTAGCCTTATCTAATTCTAAGAAAATTCAAAGCACGTGAATATTTTGCTTATTTATACAGAAATAGAACTGGTGTTATTTAATGTTCACAGAGCGATTTAAAGTATAAGCAATTATTTATTTTTGCTTACGTACAGAACACGAACTAAGTAAAAGCAAAAGTTAATTAACTCTTAACTGTACTGTGTTAATATGCTTAACTTGAAACACTGATATTCATCTCAGAAATATTCAGCGTCAATTATTTCTTCCTTAGAAACAAGTTTATTACAGTGGTGAGATATATAAATTAAGAATTCCCTTTCTTAAATTACTACATATATGTTTCTAAAGCTAATAAAGTTAAGCAGAAGTGGAATAATTTTCATCTTAGCTAGGAGGGGGGACAAAGAACTAAGGAACTGAATTCGAGTTGCAGAGGAAAGAAGTACTGTAATAGAAAATATTTATGAAATCTTCTCTTCAAATGTAATTTTTTCAATGGAAATTGGGGAGGAGGACACAGCTTTTGATTTAAAAGTAAATGAATTTGATCCAATAGACGGGCTAAAATGGAAGCATTTCCTGTTAAATTCTCCGTCTTTCCAATTAAGAGCTTAAAAATATCCATCCACACACGCGACCCCCCCCCAAAAAAAAAACTGTTTTACAAGTCTAAATCTTAGGTCTGAGGTTTAAAAGAGTGTTCATTTAAGGTTACTTAAATTTTAATCTTAGAACTGAGATTTAAAACTTTAAATCTTAAGAATGAGATTGTTATTGAGTCGATAGAATTACTTTATGTACCAACGCGGGTGCTTTGACGTTTTTGAAAGGTATGCAACCGTGTAAACCCATGAATCGTAAGATCTGAAAATTAATTCTCAAAAGTCGATTAAATATAACTGAAAGTTCTGTTTATTTAATTTTTATTTCTGAAAATCTTGTCAAAAAAAAAGCGACAAAGTTCTTGAATTTTATACGAGTGTTTCGAAACCATATTTTCAGTATGAGAAGGATGCTTAAAATGTTTTGAAAAAACTTTGGCGAAAGAGGTTGAAACTGATTTTTAAATCATTCCAATAATGCTGATTTTGCAACTCATAATTCAGATAAGAAATTTTATTGATTGATTCTATTGTTGACTCGAGATTCTTAGTGTGAGAAATTTGAAATGTGAGAAAATTTTGTATTTTTCTTTATCTCATTAAAATTGCATAAATTTAGATTTCTGATAAAACGTTAAATTTGGGGGAAATTTTCTTCTCCATTCACAGCCAATGAAAAGCTGGCTTACTTGCAAAGTACCTTCAGTTGTGGTTAATAAAAGTAAAATTCAACCTTTCAATTAAAGTTAATGAAAGAAAGCCCTCTATATATTTTAAGTTTAATTTTTTTAAGCAACAAATTAAGTCATTAATAATGTTTACTACATAATTTGTTGTAACGAATGAACAGTATTACTTTTACCGTAGATAATTTTTCGAGAAGTTGTGCAGATATTTTTCTGTCTCATATACGCAACCGATTACAAGACTTTTAACATTCATTGTGGTCAAAGCGATGGACCCAACTGGAAGAAAAATAAGAATAGTTTATTTAATACTTTATTTGCCATCTTAAATACATATTTTTCTTTTATTTTATTCAACAGATGGAGCTAGTTTTACGTACAGAATAATATGAGTGAGAGAAAACTATGTAAATTATATGCATACATAATTAGTTTATATGTGAAAAAATGGAGTTAGCTATATTTTCTTTCAAAATGCTGTCGACTTTTTCTCTTATTCATAATCAATCGCAAACGAAGGATGGATTTTACAAATTTTCAAATTGGATTACAACTTTATCTTTTACTATTTTAATGTGAATATTATGCAGAAAGTTAAATTATCAGTTTTCTAAACTTTCTGAAGCAGAGTAATTTAAGATTCTAATCAATGAATTTTTATTGAAAATTTTTTTAAAATATAAATGCTTTTCAATTTATCAAAATATTATATATCTATTTTTTACTCTGCGTAAATTAACATGTGAATAAAATTCATAATCTATTAAATCAATTTCATAAATAATGCCTGGTTAAATCAGTATTTAAATTTAATTTTTGTAAAAAGCTTAAAAACCTTTTCAACTTTTCAAGAGAAATCTTAGGTACAGTAAAACGTTTAGCTTATTTTACGGAATCTTATTTGGCTTTACTCATTCCATGCTTGAAGAAAATTTCAGTTTCGTTTCAAAATTAATTATATTTAAATAACTTATTTTAATAGATTCGAAGAGTGGCTTTTCATATTTTAACCTTACACCTAACTTCCTAAGTCACGTTTGAGAGATGGTAATTTAAACACCTTTTGTTTCGAATTTTGACTGACATTTCCATTTTTTACCTTTAGTCTTGCAGCTGGCTTCCAAACAATTGGAAGGTTGCTCTGGGCGCGGAATATTAACTGATTTTAATCATTTTCGCTTCTGAATAGTTACTTTTCTGTCAAGACAGCTTAAGCCAGTCAGTCATCTTTCTTATCTGATGAAGAGTGACAAGCGTATGGGTTCCGGTAAAGAAATTTTACCCTTTCCGATTGTAGAAATTATAATTCTCGAAAAACGTCAGCGTGAATTCCTTTAACTTGACGTGATTGCTTTCGCTGCAAACGTGTTAAGAATGGAGAAGAGCTTTTTTGGTAAGAAAATGAGATTTCTCAAAATCTTTACGTTAAGCAGAAGTTGACCTGAAATAAGTGCGTCAAAAAATTAACAAGAAATGCACTAAGAAAGTCTTTTAACTGCTAATATAAACAATAGCTCGTGCTGCAACAAAATGGAAGTAACTTATTACAAATGCAACTTTGCGGTCCATAAATTTCTCCGTTCTGTTAACGGCAGTCATAAGCTGAAAATGCTTTTAGATAAATATGATGTTACGTGCGTATGAGTTCTAAATGGCTTGAAAACATGCAAAACCAATGATAGCTTTATGAAATTTGTTTTTCCCAAAAGGCTTTACAGTTCTTAAATTTTTACACAAAAGTATTCGTACAGCTCTTCTCAGTATGATGGAGTAGTATCTCTAGTTACCACTTCAAACTATTAGGAGCGTTGAGCAAAAGACAATACAAAAAGGCCTCAAGTGCGTAAGCTAGCACAATGCTCTTTAAATACTCTCAATATTCTGAGCTAAACTCTCAACTAAACTGAAAATGAAATTGGAACTTTCAAGTTCTTTCTTCTACTGGCTTTTTCTACTGACTTTCTTCTACTGACTGGTAAATAAGATGTATTTACCAGTCTATCATAATGCTGCTCTTGAGCCTTTCACGGTATTTAAAAATAATGCTCAATCGCACAGTCATCCGAATGGACGAAAAGAGAATATCGTAAGTGACAAAGTCAAGGAATGCAATGTAGTGGATGAGATCTTGAGACTGTTAGCTCTCTGTTAGCGTGAAAGTGAATTGTGGCGGTACTTACCTGAGGACATAATGAAAAAAAAGTACAATAAAACATAGACATAATGCAAAGTTATTTAAAGCATAATAATAAAACTCAGAGTTCTCAGGATTAAATACAAAACTCCTGACATTGAAGTTTCTAGAGAAATGCTCTGCTACTGCGCCGTTAATCAGCCTGAAGATCTCACTTACATGATAGTATGAGCAATGCTAAATAAATGAGATCTGGAATAAACTGATTCTATAGAAGAATGGAAAATATACAATATATATATAAAAAATGACCAATGCGCGTTATCGTGAATAGTTCTGGGTCATTCCACCGTATTTTCAGTTGTGGGATCGTAGCCGATAATTCGTGTAATTGCAGTGGATTGCAAGTTTTTCATTTTGCTGAAGAAGTTGTGCGCTGTAGTAAGAATGGGATCCGGAAGAATTCGGAGTTTTACTACATTATAACTGAAAACTCATGCTTTCTCCAGTCTTATATAGTTTCCCGTACGCCAAAAAATTTTCAGTACCTTCGACTTCTCGAAAATTCTCGAATGCATACACAATCACAGTTATATAGAGTTGGATACAGGTACAGTTACTCACTTTGGAATTATTCAGTCCCAAGTCTAGAGTACGTGCTATCACCGGCTTTTAAAACTCACATAGACCTGCTCCGATTTGATGACTCCTTTATGAGCATAGCCAAACCGAAGCAGCGTACTCACTACGAAGTACTCTTGTGAGTTTGATGTTTGTACGTACCACTAGGAAAACTGCTCATGCTATGTTGGGAGACCGCCAGCAGCTTGGTGTCGGACCCGTTAAACGCCCCGTTCAAGAAACTTTGCGCTTCCTTTACCGCGCCGAGATGGACCATCAAAGAGGGAGGGAAGGACTTAGAGATCGAACCAATTAATACAGTTACACAAGGATCAGACCAAAATATCACCGTGTTGTCGCCAAGTTTGGTGACTTCTGTCGATCTCTCGCCAAATTTGGGTGACAAAAAATATCGCCAGCTAATTGTCCAGTTAATTGGCGAGACAGCTTGGTGCTGTCTCGCCAATTAACCATTTACTTCAATGTTAAATAGACTTACCCCTGTAATCCTGTTTTTCCAGTATTGCTTTGTCTTCTGAGACCTTTCATATTACATTATACAAGAGATAGTGCAATTTACATATAATTTAATAAAATTATTTACATATGAACAAAATTTGTAACATTGCCCCCTTCTCAGGAACTGTACATCCCAGTTAGTACAATTCCTGTATATGAAGCCCTACTTACAACTAAAGAAAATTAATACTAAAAACAATAATTTAAAAAATAACATATAAAAAGTCAAATACTAAACCAATAAATAAAAGCATGCATTTACAAATTTATATATATATATATATATACAGACGACCATGATCTTAGAATACTACTTCTATTATTTACACTTATTTATACTATGGGGGCTACGTACTATGACCATAGTAAGGGGTTAGCCTGTCGTAATGAACAACTTTAAGCTTAGAATTTAATGACTTAATGGATCCAAACTACAACTTCGTTCAACTGTTTAGGACTGGAACTGTTTAGAATTGGACTCACCCTGGGCCAGTTACCCAGAGTGACTGTAGTTTCGGAAGAAGTCTTTACTGTCGATTCGGTTTCTATGACTACACCTTGTCATCTTCGTTGAATCGTACTTCTCAGGCAATGAAGGTGCTTCCGGAGAGCGACCAAACAACAGATCACAAGGTAGACGAACGTCATGACCGAAGAGTATCTGGGGTGAAAATTACTACATTAATGTTTTGTGTCTCAGCGCTTGTGAGGAGTAATTATTACTTGTCTGCACTTGGATTGGTGAAACATGAAAATGACTGATGTATATTGTGCATTCTTGAAAACTTGAGAGAAGACAAAAGAGAAAACTGTTGGTCGGACTGGAATTTTATGGCAGATGAATTCTTCCTTAAGAGTGGTGTACATCTGAATTTGTGTTTATTAACATACATAGGTAGTAATAGGCAGCTGGATAAATAGCTGAGGTATGCTATTCGAAGCTTTTTAAACTACCAGTGGTAAAATGTTTATCAAACCCATCATTTCTAGATAGTTGAAAAAATCAGACCTTTTAAACACAATATTTTATTTACTCATTCAAAGAATTTTAAGGTAACTTGTCTTGAAACATGGATCATTTTCTAAAAGTAGCGTGTTGAAAAAGTTGACCAGTGAACATTTTGACGTAATCCACTTACGGGGGCCTCATTCGCCTTTCGTTGCTATAAAATTATAATTTATGTGCAAGTATAATAGAGGGAAGCTAGCATGATAAAGAAATATATTCTAGGATTAAGGAAAATGTCACAGTCTATAAATTCTGTGGTCTGTATCACTGCTATGTTAGGTTTTAGAAATAAGCGAGAAGAAAGCAATGGAGAATTTTGTAAACTGGGCAGCGAGATCTGAAACTTGACAATAAATTAAGCTTTTGCAGCAAATGTAGGAACCGGATTTTTTCAACATCTTCCTGGTAGGTTTGGGATTGAAGCTCGGTTTTTTTTTTTTTTTTTTTTTTTTTAATGTTGACTAGTTTATCTATTAAAAGAAAACAAAATGGTCTTTGCTTTCTTTGAACTTTCGTTTTTAATCTTTTGTTCCGTAACACATACAAGCTATCTGAATTGTAATCTAGAAATTATTATTTACACATCTGCTAAATTTTAAATATGCTAAATAAAATTCATGTAGTAGTAAGTTAATTCACTGGTGATAAAAACTCCATTTCGGTATTGAATATTTAGAAATTTAGATGACGAAAGAAATATTTTTAAAATAATAAGCACTTAATTTAATTGCACCCTGCTATCGAAAAGGTCTTGTACAATTTTTCTTCGTAATACTTTTTGCAGTTAAAAACGTTTCGATTTTATTATATATATATATAATAAAAAAAAAAAAAATCGTACTTAATCTTAAAAACAATCTTTATAACTCTCAAAATAATTAATCTTAAAAACATCATACTAAGTCTTAAAAAAGTTAATCTTAAAGAATCGGCCTAAATTGCATAAATATGCAAGATAGTTTAGAAGGTTTGAACAGAACCTTTTTTCTTTAGCTGTAGAAATGAAAATGACAAAAATAATCCTGTGCCCTGTGATACAACAGATTAGAAAATTCGAGAGAAGTTCCAGTCAAAAAAACAAGGCTACATGACGCCATCCATTGCCAAAAAATGCAATGGAATAACTAAGAAAGAATTTCCTTAAAAGCTTAAGGTACAGACGGATTAGAATAGGGATTATCAATTGAATTGAGATAACAACTGAAACATTTTTGTGAATGGGAAACATCTCTTAGAAAATCTTACTTCAACAACGGGATACGTTTTCTAAATAATTTTGTTTGCGTAAAAGCATAAAATGTAAATAAAATGTAATTTTTTGACCAGCAGTGTTGAAAAACAAGGAATTTATGCGTTTTCCCTTCTCAGGCAAATTTCAAGGTTCTTAATTTTACCAAAGTATGTTAAAATGCACTGGCAAGGAAACACCTTGGAATGCACCTTGGAATACTGTAAGTATTCCAAGGTGCATATTTGGAAGGGAATCTTTAAAAACTAAACTGAATAATCTCACTAATTTTTAGACACAAGTAAACTGGTAAGTCGGGGTTAACTTCGTAGTGTGACAATATTTAGCGGAACAACATGTCTTTAATCGCCAGTCTTATGATAAATCGCCAATAGTGATTACACACCGGTATCGCAGATGTCATTCTGTTACGCTAGCGAAGCATATCACTGCGCATGCGTGAAGCGTAAGCCCTGCAGAACAGGGATGCTACTTACATTATCTCGTTCATTAGCACTTTGGCAGTTGAGGCTGTTGGCTCGGTAAAACCTGTGAAATTTTGTAAATATAAAGTTAATAGTTGTTTGACTTCTAAATTACTATTTGTTCAGCGTTTTATTTTGTTTATCTAAAAAAAGTATCGAATTGTGTATTATGATATTATTGAAGTACATGAAAACAAACTATTTGGAAAAGAAATAGTCTAATTTTTTTTCACTTAAGAGCAATCTATTTGATAAGCATTATTATCATGTGTACACACATAATTCTGAGCGTATTTCATATACAAAAATAAGTTTGTGGCTCAAACTAGCTCAATAAAACCTTGTATCAGATCTCCAATAAAAGCCGTAAAATGATATTTTTCTCAAAAAAACTTCATTTACATTTTCAGTTATTTAATCATTGAAGAGTTTATATACTTTTAAAATCTACATCTTAATCTATAATTCATAAACTGATGCTGGATACAAAAGAAATAATGCAGGTAATTATTTTTGCTTCGCAAATTCAAATTTCATATGTGACTATTAAATTTTCTTTTCGAAGTGCTTATGTTACAGCAGTGTACTTCCCAGTACACTGCGGAGAGAAAAGGAAAAAAAAAAAAAAGGAGAGTTCAGTTCTCTATCTCCCGTTCGGCCGATTGACGAAATTCAACTTGCGTTTTTCACATCTCGAAAGGGTGACTTAGGATATGTATTAGATTTATACATAGCATTTTTCTAATATAGGTATTTTGACACATAATCGAACTTTTTCTTAAATAACGTACCAATTTTTTTTCCATATTTCGATTCTACGGCTCAAATTACGAAGTTTTGTAAAAATCGCACAACTAGTTTTTAAAAAATTAGTTTAGCTCCTCAATGTTAATTGAGTTTGGTACATATTTATTAATCTCTCTCTTTTTTTAAAACTTATTTGATTCTTCCTTTCACATTTCGAAATTCAGATTCATTCTAAATAAAATTCACCCATTTTTTATGATTCATTTTTAAAATTTTTATTTTTATATTTTTCAAAAAAAATTTTGAATTATAATCTCTAAAAATTTTACCATCATCTTAAAGCAGACGTATTTTTAAGCATACCTGCAAAAAATTACAGTTTTTTATTCAAAATTTCCGAAGATGTACGTAGATTTATGTATTAGCGCATTTTGAAATTTGGCATATTTGTTGAAAGCGATAAAACACCAAATGCGGTTTAGACACTTTGCTAAACTTATTTAAAAGTTAGAACGATGTGATATTTTTTCCCGATCATGCACAATGTAAAAAGATAGGAACGAGGTGCCTTTTTTTCCGCTCCGGCATAATGGAAGCGAAAGGAAAATTTATTGCCATATATTATATTAAGAATTTCGTTAAGTGAATTATTCTTGGCGAAAACTGAAAAATTGCGCCAAGATAAATTTTTGAATTTCTCAGTAAATTTCGCACCAAATTTTACAAATCTTAATATTTAGGCATAATTTGAGTCGTAGAATCGAAATATGGAAAAAAAAATGGTATGTTATTTGAAAAAAAAAGTCTGATTTTGTGTCAAAACACCTATGTCAGAACAATGCGATATATAAATCTAATAGATACCCTAAATCGCGCTTTCGAGACATGAAAAACGGCCCCCCTGTACGATAGTTAAAACCATTCAGTAAATTATTCTGTCAAAATTTTCCTTTATTAATTCTTAAGTTGCTAAATGCCATAATAGCCGATCATTCTAAACCTAAATTCTTTTCAGGATGCTGTGGGCGTGTGTAAAATGTTTATGGAGAGAGATCCTGAGAATGTTAACTTCTCAATAATGGCATTAGTAGGCGGAGGTTCTGCCGAAACAGAAGAAGAAGATGTAGAAGAATAAGATGCATCTCCATCACGCTTAATATTGTGCACTGCGAAGTAAGCAAGAGAACAATATTCTTTCATAAATTGTGCATATATTTTTCCCGATGTTTTCCTTTCTTGAGATTTAAAGTTTGGCATATGGTTCATTAAGAAAACAATATTGTGTGATACTTCGTTAAAGCGGCCGTCTTTGTCGACCTTTGTCGACATTTGAAATTTGCACGTTGACTGGAGGCAAACTTTGGTGGCTAAATGCAGTGGCTTTTTGAACAAGAAAGAACCTATCATATTACTAATAGGCTGAAATTTTGATAACTGAAAGCATAAACCCTAGGGCTGAGTGCGTGGATGACATCCCTTGAAAGATTTCTTTTTGCAACATTTCGAGGATCGCGAAGCTTTGTATGACAATTTTGAGGATCTGAGATTTTTTTCTGTTTTTTTTAAGAGTACGCACTAGCCATAGACCTCAGAAATAATTTCCCTCGTGTGGCATCAGTATGAGCCTTCTGCAGTTAAAATCCTCATCGAAGGCATTATATTTACGCCTTCAAACCCTCGAGTGTTTAACGTAATCAAAATCCAATAAAATCTTCCTGCTACCAAATTCAGTGGTAGTAGTAAGAGCAAATAATGGAAGTTTTTTCATTGGAACAGTATTCCTTTATTATTATTATTATTGTTGTTGTTGTTTTGCTACTAATCAGCTCTTTTACATTTCCAATTAGCTGTGTACTTCTCACTTGCCCATTTTCGATTCTTTTAATCGATTGGGTCCATAGTACAGGAACTTAAGAAACTTTGATTTGATTTTGATGCTTACTAAATAAAATGTCAGTTTTGGAGAGAATGCTGTTGCTTTAGGAAATATTTAGATTTATGGTTTAAAACTAAATAAATAAAATTTGAAAACTTCTAAAACTGTAACGAAAAGGTATTAGAAAAGAATAGCGAATTTTAAGAACTAAAGTGCTTCCCTTCAGTAGCGAAGGTAAGTGGAACTCTTCTATACCGAAGCATGGAAAAGTACCTTATAATCTGGATTTCTCTTTTCTGGCGTAGAATTTTTAGTTTAGTAATTACATCATACTTTTACATCTCATTTTTATGTTATTTCCAGTTTTATCGTTAAATATTAGAAATATGTTAGAATAAAACGTTACAGCAATAAATCACAATGTTAAAAGAATATAGTCTAATTTTTATACCAGTAAATGCACTCTTAATAATTTTATTTTCATTATTATCATTTATGAAAATAATAATAAAAATAAAATTAATAAGAGTGTACAGCTATATTTGTGTTTCTTAACGAGTTAATTTAGAAGTTGTTTGAGTTTACTGTAGAAAAAAATTAGAAACATCTTGGTGTTCTCACAACTCCTCCATCGTAGTTAGCCATATTGTCAGGTGAAGAGTTGGTGACAGACCTTTTGTTGTCCATCATGTCTTCTAAAAGGCCTTATTTCCTTCTTTGAATAGCTTTCGCGTGGCAAACATCTTTTCAACCCCTTTGACTTGTAAATCATCAAAATACACCCTTCTCTGTCCAGGAGACCTTCACCTTCATATTTTCCGAGAGAACCCTTTCGGTATATCGGGTTACTGTCGATATGGGTCAAGGAACTCAGTAGGGATCTGAATTGATAAAATAGCCACTCCTAACGGGATAAGTTTTTGTGCAGGTGACGGATGAAACCGAGGAGAAGAAAGAAATTGATATTTTCTTTCAAGCTTATTTTCTAAAGACAGATCACAGTGGTTGGTTGGTCTCCATCCGGTAAGGAACAACTGTTAACTTGTTTACTTTTTAAAAAATTATATGGAAAAGGGGATGAATCGTGTTTTTTGGTCAGAAATTCAAGGTTGTATTTAGGGGTCATTGTAAATTGCCAAGTTTATGGCAAGAACATGAATTTCATGTAGGGTTATTGGAAAATCGAAATTCATAAATTCTATTATCTAAATCTTCTATTATTCTATTATCTAGTTAGTCTTTAGAAAGTATTTTAATTTTTTCATTACCACATATTTATGGTTACCGTCTTTATGTATTTAATATTTCTGTGAAATATTTTAAAATAAAACTAAACAACCAAATGTGGTTCCTTAGGAAGTCCTTGGCGAAAGCTTCCCTACTCTAAAAGCAAATATCCTTCTTATGCTTTGCCATGATCAAATAAACCAAATCAAATTTTCTAGGGTCCCTCAAGTGACGGAGTGGCTAAGACCGTTGAATGCTAGTAACTCATCCTGCGTTCGAAACCAAGCAAACTTGGCTGCCTGAATGGTTGGTTTCCGTGGTTTTCGCTATGTGTTACTTGAATGTGGGCCAATTTTGCTTATGAAGTATTCCATAAAAGCATCCCTTTCCGTCGGCAGATAGCGTTAGTGTGCTTGGCCATACTCTAATAACTATCACCATCCGCCTCCTTCTAGTATGTTCCATTTTTTTAAAAATGATAATGTTAGATTTAGCAGTATTCCAAAGAAAAAACAAGAATTCTCAGAACTTCAGTTCTACAGTATACCTTTTAATTTTTCGGTTTTCTCTTCTATATTTTTAATTAAATGAAAAAATATAGTATATACCAAAAAAGGGGACGGAGACAAAAAAAATCGGTTATCAGAGATATCATGAACCGGTAAACTTAAAAATCATTGAAAACTCAGGCAAAAACGAAAACGGTACTTCCTCATTTCGCATTTAAAAGCATGGAAACCAGTTTCCCATTATTTGATTTCTAAGTGTCCTATCGCACCCTTAGCGAATTTAATTTTGCAAAAAAACAATGAAAATTAACTTTCATTTTTTAACGCAACTTTGTGGTATGTTTTTTTACTTCCTTGTACGAAGTAAAAAGGAAGTATTGTAATCGCGAAAAGTTTCAGGCAGCATATTTCAACTAAAATATCCATTTTGACCACTATCGAATGAAATTTAACGATGTTTTTACGTGATGTCTGTATGTACGGACAGAATAAAAGACTCTTTTCCTTCAAAAAAATTATAAAACTGCTTTAAAATGAATTATGAAGAGAATTTTTCGTGGTGTCTGTACGTAAGTATGTACGTATGTATCTCGCATTACTCAGAAACGAGTAGCCTCAGAACGTTGAAATTTTGTATATAGGACTGCTATAACATGTAGATGTGCACCTCGTATTTTGGTTGCAATCGGCCGCACCAAACGTATATAAATATATTTATATATATATATCCACTCTGTTACCCGGCTCAGTGATCTCAGATTCTTTACTCTTATATGTTTGTAAACTGTACATTTTTTGCTTTAAAAATGATTGAATTATGTTGTTTTTATCTTCCGGTTAAGGGTTTTATGCCTTTAGTAAATTTGTATGCAATATTTTTAGAATTATCAACAATTTTAAAGTTGTTTAAGTGCCGCTAAGCCTTTTTTTTTATGGCGGCCGTTGATTGTTTACAATTGAAACAGCAGGGTAGTGAATTTGTTGCCAATCTAGAGAAACTTAGCTTAGCAACGACAAAGATAACGCCTTCATTTATTATTGCCAATTAAATCATGCTTAATCCTTTCTGGAATTTTTTCGAGGAAATAAGTGTTTAAGATTTACTTCGTAATTTTTAATATAGATATTTTGAGTTTTTATGTATTTTTGCTTTCTCGCGAAGTGAGAACTGAATTAATTGAATGAGAAATACTCAATCGTCTGTGAAAAACTGTTTCTTTTTTGTTTTGTTTGCTTAATTTCTTTTATACATCATTCTAGCTTTATTATAGTATTTGAATAGAACATGTGGCAACGATTAGATAATTCTATTCTTTAAATGATATAAATTTTGTGCACTATGAGTTATAATATGAACGAAATATAATACTGTTAAGTGAATCTAGCACCAGAGTGTCGCTATGGTAAACAAATATTAGAGTAAATTTTAAAGAATGCGTTTATTCTATTGTGGTTTATGCGCTGTCGGCGAAGTAGATTTAATTCAATCCAATAAGTTTAAATGAAATTCAAGAAAAAAAGGCGTATAATTTAATATTCCGTACAAGGAAGTCATGTAGTGTACACATCAGATTTTTTAATAATGTATTGCTATTCCGTATAATAGTTTGAAAGATTAAAATTTGTTTTAATATGGTAGGTTTCTCATAAATCCATATTAACTACGAATAAATAACAAAAGTGAATTGTTTCGTGATATAGTTTGTCCTTTTTAATGTCCTAGGGAGGATATTTTAGGGCTTAGTAAATCAGAGCTTAGTTAATCAGGCTTAATCAGGGCTTGGTATAATTTAAGTCCTAGTTCGATCTTCAAAATTAAAATAATAAGAATAATAATAAAATCATCTATATCTGCCTTTTCGTATTTTGATTTTATTATATGAATTATAAAAAGACAAAAAATAAATTCTCACCAACCAAGCGGAGCTAAAAGAAAGCATTTTATAGCGTGGCCTGAATTTGTAGCCTTCAATGCAAGTGTTTGGACTAGAGTATGTAATATCAGTATTAGATTAAATTTTGTTTTCTTTTTAATAGAATTATAATTTAAAGGATACTGTAAATAAATATCTGAAATTGTAGTTTTTTCTCGTGAAGTTGCATCTTTATGGCTTGCTTTTAATTTTGAAATATTTGAATCAAATATTTAATCTTACTTTCTGACCTACTTGTTCTCGGATATTCAGAAGAGTATTATTTTGGAGAAACTTGATATTGAACCCTTAGCTATGTACTATGGTTATGATTCATGGCTCCTACCATTATATTTTAAATCATATTTAATCACTAAGGAAATGTGTTTGACTATCTTCTTTGTTTACATGAGAGTGCAGATCACATTTTCCTTAAAATAAAATTTGCAAAATTTATATGAATGTTTAATCACATAGTTGAGAAATACAGCAAAGGTCTGATTATCCGACATAAGTGGAAAACCCTAGTTTATCTGTCTAAATATTTTAGTGAAAAGTTACTAAATATTCTGCAACAAAATCTATGAAGGGAATAAAATAGCAATAAATATCATTTTATTCCTGTATTGGCGCAATCTAATTATACCT